GAAAAACCACCTTGATTGAACATTCTGTGATTAATGGGTATTTTCAAGCTATCTGGATGATTTAAAATCTACTGGATATACTTAAGACCTCCCAGTAAATCTGCCATGCAACCATTTTAGACATCACCTGTCCACTGCCAGTCAACTGGCACACCTAAGTCACTTATGAAGAGTATGGAGCTTCTGGACTTGATTAAAAGCTGAACTTAATAAAAATATTGCCACTGACTTGCATGTGCTTCACACTACCTCTCACAACAAAAGGTTTCTTTGCTGTCAAAGTCTATTAAAATTCTATGTATCAATAACTATATATAGGTTCAGCAAAGTGGCCTTGTACTGAAAATGTGAAATGATAGAAGCACAATCTAATAGTTGAAGGTTTCTCACAGAAAACATGCAAGATGCCACACAAGACAAAAATTCAGGGGAAGGGGCGAAAAATCATTGGGCCAAAGAAAACCTGGACTCAAGAGCTACAGTTTTGAAACAGAAGTGGTTTTTTTCCTGGCACAAAGCATGGTCAAAGAAATACTTTCAAAGGAATAAATAACATATTGTTCAAAGCTGCCTTTTGAAAGATCTTGCTAAATAGGGACTGTAATTACCAAGCATAACACTTCAGTGTACTTAAAGTCTTCCCAACACGATTTACACCTGTGGCTGCTTTTGATATTGTCATTCATCCTTATTTATTTTATACAGATGTTATACTAGTGAGATTGTACCCTCCTATACAATTATTCCTTCTATAGCATTCATATTCATTCTAGTTGCACAACCTTGAAAGGATCTTTTACACTTACAGCTATAGGAGTTTATGTATATGTGGGTATTTACACATGGAACTGTCTTTAGGCAAGCAACAAAACCCCAAATGTACTTACAAAATACTTCAGGAAATACAGCAATAATATTTAACAGTAAGTATCAGTTCACCCATCTTTAATTACCTGCAGGCCATCAAAACACACATGGATCACAAAATCCACACTTACCATTAAAACAGAACAAATCTGTAAGACATCAGAGGAAAATGCAGTGTGTGTGTGTAACTGATTGGTGTGCTTCATGTCATAAATTATCAAACCCATCTGCAATGTTTCTGGAAGAACAGTGCTACCTGGAATTAACAGCTTCTTCACCTCACTGGCAACTCAGCAGGGGCCTGCTAACTTTTAAGTTCTTTTTCCCTGTTTACATTACTCTGAAGCTGAACCATGAGGGTGATGTCCAGCAGGAAAAGTGGAAAATCAGATAAACCCCTGCCGTTTTACCCCCTCAAATTCAGCCCAAGCAACAAGCGAGACAAACTCCGGCTTTCCGTGCCCGTCTGAATTCAGGCGGGTCACGCAAGGGGGGCGAGGGCTGAGGGCCCCAAAGCCACCCCATCCCATCCCATCCCACCCCATCCCATCAATCCTATCCCATCAATCCCATCCCATCCCATCTCATCCCATCCCATCCCATCAATCCCATCCCATCCCATCTCATCCCATCCCATCCCATCAATCCCATCCCATCCCATCCCGGCCCCGCCCGCCGCGCTCCCTGTGGGGCGATGGCGCCACCTGCCGGCAGCGCCCGGGAACGGGTCAGGGCCGCGTAATGATGAGAGCTTTCGAATTAGTCCTAAATTAATCCTAAAAACGGTTTATAAACCCTAAAAGGACTACAAATCTGAGGCACCAGGTACAGACTGAATGGGGGATTTCAGGACACACCCAGCCCCTCTGGTTTTAAGGGAAGCCCACTGAGCTAAACAGCATCTACTCGCCAAACAAACAAACAAACAATCGACTGGTTCATAACGGGATTCCCCCAAGGCTTCAGGAACACACAAGGGCAGCTTTACTTGTTACTGACATCAAACTGAAAATAGCTGGTGGAAAAGGAGAAAGGACAGCAAAGAGATGGAAAAGAGACATTAACACACACACACAAAAAAATAGATGGAGAGAACATTAGCTAGTAAATACAGCAAATGAACCAGTTACTCATCGTTATCCTGTTACACAAGCGTCCTTCCTAACACAAGTGGCCAATTTATTTATTTTTAGGAAAACAATCACTGCCAGTAGTATCACAATTCCTTGTAAGAGAAGTATTAAATACAAAGCCTAATTCTCAAAAGCAATGAAACCAGGATGGTTTTATATGACGCCGTCTTTAATTCACTTCTTACTACCCCCAAGGGAAATATTCATCCCAATTTTTACCAACACTTTCTGCTGATACAGATCTTTTCCTCACGACAAGAACTGAAAAAGAGAAAGTGTTTCAAGTGGCTGTGGAGTTACAATCCAAGTTTAAGGGACACACTCCTAATTTATTACACATTCTAAACTCTGCAAGGCTCCTTCTCCAAAAATGCAGGATTTCTTCTACTCCTTAACATGGACTCTTTGCACTTGCATGGAGATGCAGACAAAACATAATCAGCTGAAGCCCCAGAAACCCTAGACTGTCAGATTTCCTGCTAAAATTGGCAGCTGCAGACTGAGTCAGGACTGAGGCAGCTGCAGAACAAGCCCTTTGAAGTGAACACAGCTTAGACTGAAACCGCTGCAAAGAAAGGAAACAGCAGAGGAACCTTCTCTTTATTTTTTTTAAAGCTTTTACTCACAAATATTCACCTACCACTACGTGGATAGAAAGAAAGCCTCTTCTCCTGGTTAATTAGCAGTTGTTCTTTGTGAGAGTCTCAGCCCAAGCCAGAGGAAACTTCAAAGGCCTCGCTCGTCGAACGTCACGGCGTGTGCTCACCACGGAGCTGCCAGTTCTGATCTGGTGGCACAGCCACGGCTCACGCTGGGCTTGGGAGTGGATCTGTACAGCCAACTAATTGCTAAGCAATTGTGCAACAAAAGAACAAACTCCTATTGAGAAGATTTGGCAAAGTCACAGCGGTGGGCGAGATGAGAACCTGAGCAATGTGCTGGCTCTACAACCCCGATCCACGTTCACACCTCACGTGACAGCACCTTCCTCACCCATCATCTGTGTCATCAGTGGCTTATCTCCTTTGTCTGGTCGGTTTTTAATGCCCTTACCTGCACACATGACACCTGCAGCTTTAAAACAAACAAATCACAGCTAGCACAGCACAAACTACTTCAGACTGTGTCAGAACTGCAGTCTGGATTTCATCCTCCGGTCATGCTCAGCACACAGATATTCTGTAGCACTCTACTGCCACCAGCATGTAAAAGGGAAAGAAAAAAGGTATCAAGCTAACAGTGTGTGAAGAATAAAACAAAGAGGACATGATTCATAAAGGAATGAAGCCTGGAGACTACACTAAATTCTAACCAAATAAAATGTGCACGCTCAGTAACCAATGCAATGTATTTGTGATCTCTCAGTTACTTCTTGGTAATTACTTCTTGAAAACCTTAAAGGGCCCGAGTTCAACTCTATATGAGATTTTCCTTCTTCATGAAGGCTTTTAAAACAAGGTTGGGCATGAACAAGTCAGAACTAACTTGGAAGGATTATTTCATTTGCAGTAAGATTGGTTTAGTTCTCTCCCAGTGATACCAAGAAGAATAAAGCAGGCTGTGCCAGCCCCAGCTTTCCCCAGCTTTTTTTACACCAGAGTGACAACAGCCATTGCACTCCCAAAAGGCACAGGCTGGCTGAGAAGGTTAAGAATATGCACTCACATTCTTTCATTCAGGAGTCATTCTTACATTAATTTGGGACAATCAGTGTTAGCATCTACTCAAAAATCACATAATTTGTGTTCTGCCTTCTCAACATCCTCAGGAATAGATGTATGTTTATAATATTCTTTAACTAAACCAGAGTAGTTAGTTCTTGTAGATCAGACCCTCCAAAAAATGCATTTTTAAAAAGCATTAACACTTTCAATTAATAAATTCACTTCAGGCTGTAATTCTTACATTTTTTGTAGCTACACAGAGCTGCCACACTGAGATGACTGACCTCAGAATCCTGTAAAAGGAATTCATTAAGCACTCCACATCACTATCTGCAAAGCTATATCACAACTTTTCAACACCCAACCCATTTCCTGCCTCAGAATAAAAGTCTTCCAAAATCTATTTCTCCTTTTAATCACCCACAAATTAGAAACCCACATGGTAAGTTTTCATCATGCTTTTAAACTAGCAAAATGTCTGGTTCTTGCCAAAAGATTTTTTTATTCTTCAGAGAAAAAAAAACAGATTTAGTGTCACTAGACAGTGTTTCTATGCTAAGGAGTCATAAAATGAAAGACATGTATGGTAAGTACTAATGCATGTGCTCCAGATAAAAATACAGCCTGGAAATAAAATAAGGAACTCACTAAACCTTGTAGGGTATTTATAACTGTGAGGATCAGAGTTACTGGTGTCTTTAAAACAAATAAAACTGCTTTAAAATAAATAAAACTAGTTTTGAGCAACAGTAAACGAGGTGGAGAATGACGTACATAAATTTATGTGTTGAAGAGTATTTCATCCCTGATATAGCACATTATTTCAGTCCTTTGTTTTCCCCCTCCTACAGGGCAGTATGATGAAACACAAAAGATGTACCAGAAATGGAAGTACAATTCTGTATAAACTCTAAAGAACAAGCACATCTTCTTTTGCATGTTCCCAATAGGTGGCAACAGAATCCCAAAAATACAAAGAGGTTTGTACTCCTTTTTTATTCATCCACAAAGTAACAGAAGCCCCGTTACAACTTCTGTCAATGAACTTGCACCAGCGATTTTAATCAAAGGGATCGCTGCATCTCAGCAACAGAAATTCTCAGGGGAGTAAAATGGCAAAAGCCAGAGAGCTCACAGAGCAGAAACGAAGCATTTATTAAAAAGCTGGTTGTTATCCAACAACTTATCGATGGTTTACACACAGAGCTTACCTCAGGGAGCGGGCTATCACAAGCAGGAATTTACAGTAACAAAATGTTTCTGAGCACTGAAGAAGAAACGTTAAGGAAGAAAGCCAAGTTTTCAGACAAATCAAGCCTAAATAATGACCACTTACTTGCTCTCAAAAGCAGCCACGTCCCGGTCCAGAGCGAGCGTCTCTGCCGTGATCTCCACCTTGCGCACGCTGCCGAAGAAATCCGTGATCAGAACGTTGCCAGGGTCCCGCTGGAACAGATCGGTTCGATGCCCGGGCGTGGAAACACACAAGCTTTTTGGACACACCTGAAACTGGAGAGCAAGGTGGACAATCACGTCCTGTCCCCCATCCATCATCCCCCATGCATCTCTACGTGCACCTTCCAAAATGGAATTGCTATCAAAAGGAAGATGAACGGCACATCAAACTGGCGCTGACTTCAGGAAAGGCTCCACAGCTGGAAAAAAGTGGTTGAACAAAAAAAAAACATTAAAAGGCATAAACACCTTGATTATGCATTTCAGAAAACCTTTATCCTGGCAATAATTGAGTTTAGAAAAGCTTCTGTGAAAGCCAACCATCAGTTACATTTAACTGGTAGAGGCACATACTATATTTCTGTATTTTGTCTCCATATCAGATGCCCCACAGCCAGCACACACTGCAACACCTGGAAGACACACACACAGCACTAACAAACTGTTTTCACTGGACTCAATTCTACATAAAGATCTCCTTGCAGAAAATAAGAAGATATAATAGTAAGAGATGTATTGCAGCATTCAGGACAGCATGCCTATTAAGTAACAAAATTGTTATGTAGATATTCAAGGCAATACCAATGCTACAAGTAGATGAAAAGCAGCCTGAGGCTTTCTCTGGACTCTTTGATGAATGTGGAAAGCTGAGTTCATGTTTCAATCATCAGAGACACTCAAACCTCACAACCCTGCGAGGCAGAGGCTCCAGAGGAAATGCTGCTGTCCATGGAACTCACAGGCAGCCCACACACCACCTGGTAACAGTGCTGGTTTTTGGGAGCCCTTGTGCATCCCAGCAACAACAGAGCATTTAACACAATGGATTCATCACACAGGACTAAGAAGGATGCTCTCCACATGGGTGCTCATCTTTCTTAATCTTAAATTCTCCAAGCGATTTTCACAAGCAGATCCATCAGTCACAGGATCTAAACTGCACCATGGGTCAGCTCTTACAAGGTTGCATTCCTATGACAAAACCACAGCTCCTAATTAGCTCCATGCAAATGCAACTTCAGTGATTCCAGATCATGACTGACAAAACCTCTGAGCTTCAGGTCATACTTCCCAGCAGAAATTCTGTGCTGAGCCTGACACAAAATGTATTGGCTTTTGTTGCTCATTCTCTTTGGACAACAAGCCCTACATTGAAAAGGTTTCCCAGAGAGGAAACCTGGCTTTTCCTCACAGAGGGCAGATTCTATCTCCCCATTCCTCCCTCCTGCTCTATTCCAGTTCCTCTTTTACAGCTTGGTTATTTTGTCTAAGCCCATGGCATTAAGCAGCTTGTCCAGGGAGACTTTCACCTCTCCATGAAGCACACACACCCCGAGCTCCTTTTTAATGATTCCCAACTCTCCTGCTGGCAGAGCATCACACAGCTGCTGAAGAAAAGACAGGGCAGATCCAACCTTTGTTATCCTCCCTGTGAAGTGAAAATGAACTAGATTCATCAGCATCATGCTTCCCATACAAACCCCCCTGTCAATGCACACACAAACCTTCTAAAGTTCCATTCTCACCAAAATGCTATCAATTTTCTCCAGCTCTGCTCCTGTTGAGGGCATAAACATAAAAACTAGGCCTCTGAAGTAAACTGTAAAAGGTATTTGTTTTAATCCCACCACTTGAAGCATAAATTTCTGCTGCAGCGATACCATCAAGTCTCTCTGCCAAGTTCTTGAGAGTACACATGTCCCAAAACAACTGCATCAGCACTGGAAGTGGGAAACTGATCCTGCACCCAACCGTTTCTAACTTGTCCCACAACAATTCACCACCACAACACGCTGATATGAATCTTACACCAAAATGTGCAATGGCAGTGAGAAGACTTCAACACTAAAAACCTACCAGTGTGACAAAAGGAGGGCTGCAAACAATCACACCACAGTGCAGTGACACCAATAACTGAGGTCTTGTGACAAAGAGAGAAAAGGCAGATGCTGGCTAAGTGAAACACATTTGATCCTGTATCAATTTTTCCAATTTTTAAAGGAAGATTCTATTCAAACAGAGCTAAACAATTCCCTCAACATGGGAGCTTTGTTACCTTGACTTTTCTTAACAACGATTTTCGTTTATGACAAACGACATCTCATCTGGAAATTTATTTGAATCTTATCTTAAAAGTTCAAATGTGTGACATTTCAATTCAGTCTTCGCTTTCTGAGAACTGTGATCAAGCCTAAAGTCAGTCATCTGCACAGCTTTATGCTATCCCTTAGCAACACAGATGGAGCAGGTGGGGAGTAGGTGGAGTGGATTGTGGAAAAAGATGTCTCATTCTTTGCAGGAATGCAATATCCAAACCTTAGGTGGATGTGAAGAGAAGCTGTTTCAAGAGTGGCTTGAGAAAAGTAAAGAGGTGATGGGATAGAAGCAGTGTAACAAATATACAATACTTCTAAAAGAGCACACATTAGACATATAAGAAGATCAGATAACTAAACATCAGTTAATTTAGTTTGCCAGAAACTTAAGTTATCCTGAGCTTGGAAAGCGTTAATTTAGATTTAAAAAAAATATATAAATAAAAATCAGACTTGGATAAGCAGTAAGTCTGTATTCTTAAACTAGCTAACACTGACAGTGCATTCCAGTGCCAAAGTATCCCCTACAAGTGCTGCCAAAAAAACAGGCTTATATCCTTACCCTGGACTAACCATTTGTCACTTTGAAACTCTTGGATGAAGCCCTGAAAAGCATCAACTCAAACTCAAGTGGTCAGGTTTGCAGGTCATGGCTCAGGACACGATCCCTGCATGGTCTGGGCTGGAAAGGACCTTCAAGATCATCTGGTTCCACTCCCCTGTCATGAGTGGGGTCACCTCCCACTGCACACTGGGCTGCTCAGAGCCCCCTCCACCCTGGCCTTGAACAAATCATCACAAATCACGACATATCTGGGTCCATCCTCTCTCGCTCCTAGAACAACAATCAGTAGGTTGGTGTACGATAAGATGACTTACCTGATGTGAGGAATTTACTCTTCCTATTTGGCACAGAAGCAAAACCAAACACACCATGAGGTATCTTCTCCAAAGAGCTCCAAAGGTAAACTGCTTGGCCAGTTAACAAATTCCTGCACTCTTCAACAACCAGATTAACATTCTGCTGGCTAGACCAGCTCTGTCCCTTCCCAGATGGTGTCTTACACTGTAGGAAGCGCTGTTCCCTTTTATGACCTTCTTTAATTAACACAAATTCGTTTTCTGTTAACAGTGCTATCTGAATGAACAGGCTAGAAGAAGATACTGAATCAATAAAGAATTTGCATTCTCTTCTTTACCAAGATTTATTGCAAAGTTATCTGTATCCCAGAGTCAGAAGGTATTAAATCATAGGACACAATTTCATTCCCGTGGAAGTAAAAGAACCTTGAGTCTTTGCTGCTGAATCAATCCTGTACCAACACAAAATCTGTCGAGTGTGGGCTGCTCAGAGAGAATTCTACCACACATGTAGCAGCCAGGCTAACACTGTCCTCTGCAGACAGAGAGTGGCATCAAACTTCTGAGCAGCTGCTGCTTTTACAGAAGTGAATCAAAGACAGTGAGTTGTGTAAGTGGTGGCTCTTGGACCCCTGACGCAGCACATCAGGATTTACAGCTACAAGGTACCAAAATATAATGTATGACTACAAGAAACTAGTGCTGGAACAGGAATAAAGGGTTAATAGGGTCAATAAAAGAAGGTTCCTTTTTATGTCATCTCACCTAACTGCTACAGAGGCATTTCCATACATTCTGTCATAGGTTATCTGGTTGGCTTCTTGTTTTCCTTCTGCCTCACAACTGAAATCTACAATAACATTTACCTAAGATATAAATTATAAGTCCAAACACTGATGGATTTGGACATATCTTGCTCTGGAATCTAAGCAGATATACAGATAAATTAGTCTCTGCAGGCATTTGTGATCACACATTTAGAATTTTAACTGCTAAATCACTCTTGCAAAACAACACCAACTCCTGCCCTTCCACAGCTGCAAAATGTCTGCTATCCATTATGCTGGTTTTAGAAGCCTCCAACTATCACTTTTCACACACAAATACTTCATTCCATTGAAATGAATATTTAATGAATATTTTATTAATTTTTCAATTAAAAAAAACCAAAATCTGGCTAGTTCCAGTTAATTTTTTCTGTAGCCAGCAAACCACTTTCAACCCCTTGAAGTGTTACACAACTAACAATGGCAAGAAAACCACCCTTCCCCCAAAGCTGCTTCAGAGAAGAAACAGCAGGAGCACAGAAGGCATTTGGAGAAGCCTACAGACAAAACAGATTAGTTTTGAAGCTGTTAAAGTCATTAGCATATCCATGAATGTTGAGTACTCTACTTACCAGGTCATTCATATTTGTCTGACTGGCAGGATGAATTTCTTCCAAGAACTCCAGCACGTAGAAGGTGTATCTGTCCATGAGATGAACACCAATCCCAAGGTCAGGCTGATGCTTCAAAACAACACAGGAGAACTCAGCATTCAGGAGGGAACAGAATGTAACAGCACGATACAAAAGCGAAGAATAATTTTTGTGTTCTTAGGCAAATTATGCAAAGAAAATTACTACCTGTGAAGCAACACATTGCTGATAAAGTGAATAATACAGTTTATGTATAATTCTGGTAATATCTGTGTTTTCCACAAAGCAGGGAACTCTTCTTCTTAATGGGTCAGCACAGATTTGAGGCTGCCCTGACCTGCTCAGGACTTTGAAAACAGGGCTGGGAGAGCCAGCGTGTCCTCCAGCAGTGCAGGTGATCCTGACCTGCTGCTTCTGGTCTGCCTGAGACCCCTCCTATTGCTCCTTCTGGAATTCAGCTGGGAAATAATTACAGCAGCTGAAAGGCAGTGGTTTGTCTTGGTTTCTGTGAAGGTTAGATTGAATATTCCTCACACACATCTCTCAGCAGTCTTACCATAAGATTTCTTCTTACCCAAGGCAATGTTTGAGCTGGTCAGAAATCCCTCATTAGCCTGGTTCTCTGGGACAGCACACAAAAACTGGCAGGCAAAGTACACTTACAAGTGTTGTCAAAATGACACTTTGGAACTAAATACCTTCCAGTTCAGCAATTGGAGGGGAAATCCTTAGATAAAGGTCAAGAGGAACCGTGCTTTTAACACAAGCTTTCTGAAAACTGTCTCCAGGATCACACAAATCTACTTACTGATAAAGAATCTTCTCCTACTTGGCTGCTAGCCAAGGCCATTATGTTGGGTGAATAAAACCGTTCGTACATGGATGCTCCTTGGCAAGTGTCAATAATAAACAACAGCTCATTGTACCTGAAAGAAACAAAACCAACCTCCTCAGCCATTTCTACTTAAACAACATATCCCTGCTTTGCTCTTTAGTTACCAGGACAGCTGCTAGGAACCCCAGGGATGGGAGAATTCACACTGGCTGGCTTTCAGATGTGAGTTTACTCAAAGCAACACATCTGAGCAGCTCTAACTGCAGGAAGCTGAAAGCCAAAAACAAAGCTCTTCCTTCTGAATGCAAACTTTGGTGCAATTTCATGGACAACAGATGGTATCACTGCTGCAGGTAAGCAAGGCCTACCAGTGAGACTTTGGGTATGTACAGGAAATACAGTATTTAATGTCTAGAGAATGCTCATTTCTTACCTCCTCTTCTGCCACATTTGTTCAAAGGCATCAGCAAGTTCTACATTGGTGATTTCCTCAGAATCCTGAAATTTTAGGAAACCGTTTCCCCCATGGCCTGACAGAAAAATCAGAAGTTAGGCAAGTGTGTAGGTTACAGGAAGATCTCAGCCTGGGGGGCCATTTTTCTAAAATAAGGCAAACACAATTCTCTTTCTCCACAGATATTCCAGCAGAAGGAATCGATACAGTAAGAACACTACCCATACACCATTTCAAATGGAAACTATACTGACTAAGTACTGCCTTACAGATATTTTCTCTTAATTGTATTACAAACAGAAAAAAACCCTTTTTGTTGATCCTTTCCCTCATTTGCACCAGTGATGCTTTCAACAAACCCCCCCACACGAACAACAAACACCAATAAACTGCATCCAGAAGCCTGTGATCACCTGTCATATATATCAGAATATTGCTTCTGTCATCAGAGAGAAGCCGTTTAGACCGCGGGGTGCTCGGTGGGATCCTCCCCGTCAACACACGCAGGAAATTTTCCACAGTGACCTGCAGAGAGGAGCCCAAAGTCACTTTCTAAAGATAAGAAAATTAAGCAGCAGAACATTAAAATACACAGCATATCTAAACAGACAAAATATTGCACGGTATAAACTGCATAAATCTGTTTAAGGCCTTACTGCAGGTTCACAATCAGGTGGTACTTTTTACTTTATTCCATTACCATCAGCCTGCTGCTTTATTATAGCCAATAAGTCCCCCACTATTATCATTTCTAAGTACATTCTCATTGATCTGAAAACCTGTCAGCACTTAGGTTCACTCTGCCAAAGTGGCTCATGTACTCACAAAATGCTCCCAACATTATGGTGGGTTACCATGGGAAAACAAAAGTTTGAATTCCCTCTGCGACTCACAAATGAAAAAATATTAAGTTTTTCATCACTGTTACATAAGTCTGAGTGATCAGCACACCCCAGCCAGATGGGGACAGTAAGAAATCCTACAAAACACCACTTCATGTGGTGCACACACACAGCTCAGATGCCAGTAACAAATCCACAAACAGAAACAAAATATGTTTCTCTGTTTCATGAGTGTATCTGTATTTCAGTGCTGTGCCTTCACTTCTTTCCATAAAGTTTCAGAGAAAAAAATATCTACTATATGCTGAAATATGCTTCTGTAAAGCTGTAATGATTACACAGCACAGTTAAACCAAGAAATTAATGTCTAATTTAAGATCAACTGGTAAAGACATTGTCTGTTTGAAGGAATAATCCACAAAAAGGAAGGTGACAGAATGAAGACTTTTATATAGTAATTACTTCATGGTAATGATTAGGTTCTAGCTTTTGTTTTATTTTAAAAGTTTATGCTAAAGATTAGGAATTGAAGTAGGTCTCCCAAAGAAGAGAAATGTCAGTAATAGGATTCTATTCCTAACACACACCAGGAGCTCCACACATCCTTTCAACTGCGGATTTAAAATAGCCAATAGGCTAAACATGTTTCTAGCATTATAAACTTCAAATAAAACAAACTTCAAACACAAAACCAAAGATCAGTGAGGGGAGGGAGGGGTATTTTAAAACCTATCAGTTGATAATAAAAGCCCAGCCTAAAATCAGAATTATGAAAAGCTCTTCCTCAGATTTCACAGATGCTGCATAAATCTTTAAACCAACACTAAAAAATAAAGACCCCAGAGGTTTTAATTAAAGCACAGTTACCTCATAGCTCCTGTAATCCACCTCCACATCATCTCCATAGACGTTGAGCTCCATGTTTTTGTGGCTGAACACGGTAGCCGGTTTGGGATTTCTGGGATTACAGGCCATGTCATCTGCCAGCATCAGGACAATGTGGCTGGGGAAAACAAGACCAAACCATTTCAGCCACTCTGCTTCCACACAACAGTCCAACAGGAATTACAGCAATGCTGTTTGATGGTTACAACAACAGCTTATAACATTAAAAAGGTTCTGGAACTGCAAAGGAAACTTTGCTTAGTTATACCCTATTTCCTTATGCACATCCTCACTGTAATGATGATATCACACCTAAACACAGCTGGCTGTTATTTATCTGCAGGATAAAGATGAGCATGAGAGTATTTGACATTGGAAACTTTAGGATACAGGTTTGCCTGGACCTAGGCTGACAGAACTCTTAATTAAAAAAAAAAAAAAAAAAAGGAGATTTTTATTAAATCATTTCATGCACCACCACAGAAGAAACAACAGCGTGTGTGCACCTTCTCAGACAGATCAATTAAAAACATTGTGATAATTCTTAATTAAATTGAGGAGCTCCTGAACATTTCTGAAACCATTATACTGCATCTGATACTCCACGATTATCTGTGCTAATGGAATTCTCCTGAAGAACACAAGTGGGCTGACACCAGACAATTTGTTGCCTTTATAGTACAAAATAAAAAACAAAAAACAACCCAGCACTTCACAGGACCAAGAAAAAAACAAACCCAGCATATTATGAAATAATAAGTAGTCCCCAGGCATTGTTGGTACTAAAAAGAACGTGCCAAAGATGTGTGGAATGAGCCTTTCCTGCAGATAACCTGTCCTGGGCACAGCCCCTCCTGCACTGGGATCCTCCTGTTCACCCAAACAACTCTTACAAAAGCAAAGCTCTGCATCCTGCAGAGAATGCTCTTTAATTCACACTCGATATGAAGCTGTGATGACAGAAGCCAGAGGAGGACAAATCATCTTCCTAATAAGTTTTGTTGTTGGAGGACAAACATATTTAAATCACACAGTTCCACTCAAAATAAGGCTATGGCACAAACCTCTCTAAAAACAACCAACCCCAAGAATCAGGATGTTTATTTTTAAGATGTGATTATGAGATTTCTTGGGAATTTTGTTTTGTGGGGGGTTTGTTTGTTTGTTTCTTTGGTCTTGCCAATATTTTGAACGAAGTCTTGCAGCAGTGAAACAAAAACAAATAAAGCAAGTTTGTCTAAGGAAGAAACCTGTTCAAATCCATGTAAAAACTGCTGAAAAAAGTAAAAAGTAGGTGTTCTCTCACAGCACTTCAGCAGGGCATTCCCTTCCATTGACAGCCCCCAAAGGCTTTTAAAAATTAGGTTTTAAACTCCTCCTCTTTCAAAAACTAGAAAGTCACTCTGGTTTATTTTTTCTTAAATAAACACAGAATCAGGCAGTTTTCACTGTGCAGACGTTGCCCTGGTCAAAGCCTTTCGTTTAAGGACTTGGTGCAGTTGCAGATGTGGAAGTCTGACAGCTTCATACAGTCAGAGTCACTAAGATGCTGAAAGGACATTAATGTACATCAAGAGTGGTATCTCAGAGTAGCACTGTCATTGCTGAGTGATTCATCAATCTTCCCGTTATGCTTTCACCAATTTACCAAGTGGCACATTTTTTTAGTGGCCAGATCTAACTGGCCTGTTCCAAGTGGGAGTTTCACCATCTTAACTTCTTGCTCTTCCTTTTGAACAACACTGCTGCACTTTTCAAGGCAACTGAGGTGACTGCATCCTTCCTTTTTGCTTTTATCCCGATAAACTGGGAAGATAAATGTATTTGTGTAGTGCTGCAGACAGCATGAGAACTTGAACAGCACATTTGCCAGGAATCTGGATTCACCAAGGTTCCCTCACCTATCAGGAATGCCCAGCCTCTTGACACTTCTGTACACTGAAAGGGTGTTTGCCACATGACGATAATTAAACCAGAATCGAGACGTACACACCTTGAGAAGAAAGAAAAACAGCACGTTAAATAATGTAAAAGATACAGCCTGGCCTGGCAGGTTGCATCAGAAGACAACAATTACAGGAATAAGTAAAAATAGGAACAGATCAGGAAGAACATAGCAACACCAAGAAACCCATGACACAAGCTGTATCAATCTTGGGTGTACCAAAGCAAAGAAACACTGACAATAAAAGTTAAAAAAAAAAGTTATTAGCATACTGACTCATGAAAAAAATTGTCATAAACCCTAACTAAGTATAGAAAGTGGCACTTTAGGGAATAATTCAGCAGTAGTCAGTGGATAAGCTGACTTTTTTTCATTTGCTTTCTCCTCAGCAAATGGAATTAAAAATCCAAGGAAGAGGTCTCATCTCAATAGCAAACCCATTCTGAGAGCATTCTTGCACAGAGGCATAAGTGAACTCATGCAGAAGGCACTCACCAGGGAAAATACACTGAGGACATTTGCATTTAAGGAGGAAGATGTAATAAAGTAAGAGCTAAGTGAGTTCTGTCCAAAATCTGAGCACAAATTCTCAAAAGCCCCGAGGGAGTTCAGGTTCTACAGTTCTGGCAGGCAAAGGGTCAGGGCTCACTCATTCCTGTATTTACAAACTCCCTAAATCAGACATTGTTCTGATTCAGAGATTTCTAAAAAACTTCTAAAAGAAGAGGTGACTTTAAAACCATAAGAACAGAGGTGCAGGAACAAGCATTTGGACAGTTTCTTAATTTTGCAGTTTGAAATGTGGAGTTTTAAGTTACACTTTATGTAGCATCTTCTCCTGTAGTTTTTTTCCCATAAAAAGAACTGAGTAGTATCTTGAGTAACTACAAAAATTCAGCCTGAAAGGATGCCCTTGTGTCCTGATCATCCTGCCAATCAGGAATTCCAAAAAGGCCCACGGGAATCAGGCTGGGAGAACATTTGCCTTTCAGCAAAATTTAAAGCTCTGGAAACTAACTGTGTCCAATTTAGCTGAGACGTTTCAAGGTATTATTATCTGCACCTTCCCCCCACTGCCTCCCTTACAGCCCCGAGGAAAATGTGTCTAAGCTTTAAATAAAGCTATTCAGACTGAAGAATTTAAATTTAAACTACAGGTGAGGTGGGAATTGCAGCAGGATCCCAAGTCTGAAGGGCCTGATAGCTGTAAACCTCTCCCTGTTCTACTGCTTCAAAAATTAGTAGGAATTGTTATAAAACTTAATGATGAACCACTGAAAAAGAAAATATAACCAGCAGAAAATCTGTTCTGGACAGAAAATACAGCTCCTTGGGCTTAATTTTTTCACCTTGTGTGGTTTTATGGGTGCTAATAAAAGCACCTATTTGTTAAGAGTCTTAAAGTATAATTTGATGTTTTAATAGTTTCAAGTACATTGTAGAATATAGAAGTTATTCCTTCTAATTCAATTAGTTCCTGTTAACTTTCCTTTTATATGGCTCGATTTTAGTATCTGGAAAACAAACAGCTGCTACTGTGTAATTACAAGAGTGTTCTGAAACAAATTAGTCATTAAGACCTGAATTGTGATTAAGAAGCAATTGTGCAGCATGATTCAAAGCTAATAAAAGATACATGGCAAAGGAAAAAAAAAAAAGAATTAGGATAAGAACAGTTGATCTAAACATTATGTTGCCTAAACTGATTTCATTCTAAGCCTGTTATCACAAGTTAACAGATTGAGCAAGAACAAAAATGAGAAATAAATTGTACCTTTCTGGCACAAGAGACCACATTTCCCTGGTGTCAGAATTAAAACTTTTCTCCCATGTGCAATCTGTTAATTGAACTACTTTAAAGCTGTCAGAACTTTTGTTTGACGAACCGTGCCATGTAGCTGGACACACTGAGTGCCTGAAATCCAGTCTTACTGAAAAGATAATTTCATTACAGTGCAATAAATTCGCAGGCACATTTTCAAACTCATTCATTTCCAAGTCTCTATCTTTCCATTCCTTTCGAGTGAGCAGAACTCTTCAATGACTGTCACAATTGTGGTCCCTGATAAAAAAACTGTCAACTTTACTGGAAGAAAACAACTTGGACCATGCTTACCAAAACCGCCCAGTTATTTGTATGTCCACTTCTAAAGAACTGTTCTGCTTGCTCCTGAAAGATGGAAAAGATGTTACTTTTTTTTTTCAGCAACAAGAAATGACCACTCATATTTTTGTTGTTTCCACAGAAGTGCTGAATGCAGACGCTTACCACGCATTAACACTGAATAAACCTTAGAAAAGGTTTATTACAAGAGAGGGAGAGAGTTTTTATGCTGTTTTGTACATTTGACGTCAATTAGTTGCTTCCAAGTCCTCAAACTTGCTACTTAACAAAGAAGAAAGAACTATTAGTCACTTGCAGCTTAGTTAGAACAAAAAGCCCACACATCTCTATTCTAAAGGACACTCCAAGAACAAAATAATATGATTTATTGACCTATACTTTCATCCCTAATGAGAAAAGGGGCTCGGATTCATTTCTGTTTTCAAAAGCAGGTAAGTGAATCTGCAGTTTAAACTCATTTTAAACCCAGGGTGGGCACATTTATCTTCCAGAATCTGGAGCTACGACAGCAACCTTCTGTAAAATCTGTGTTCCCCGTTGTTCCCTGCAGCTGAGAGGGCCCTTTTTCCTTAACATAAAACGGATACAAAACGGGAATAAGACTTTCCAGAGGTAAGGGAATGAGTTCTGTCATAGGGCAAGAATCCAGACCTGCTGATTCTTAAGTCAGGCTCTGTTAACTCTGAGGGGTACTGGGATGGTCTCACACAAAACACACAGCAACAAAAAAAGTGTTTGTTCAAACATATGTAAAGCACGTTGTACTTCAAGCAGCAAACAACCCGCAGTTTCATTAGTCACCCAAAGGCTCTAAAAATACATCTATTGTTTGGGGGAGGATTTTGGTCTTATCAGTAATTAATTTCAAGTAAACAGCTCGCTAATAAAGCAGGATCCAAAGGCAAACAACACTCCAGGTGCAGCGTGGGCACCGTGCATGACTGAGGGATGAGATGACTCCCACCCGACAGCCCCGGCCGGGCAAACCGGACCGGCAGAGTCCGGGAAACGCCGACCACGAGTTACATTTGCGGGGTTAAACACAACACGAGTTTCAGGAACGACGTGCGGGCGGACTCAAAGTCGGGGGGGAGTGTTAACTTCGAGCAGCTCGAACAAGACAGACAGCGCCTGCCGAGCCCCGCAGCGCCGCACCCGGCACATGGAGCCGGGCAGCGCTGTGCCCGGGCACTGCTGAACCACCCACCGAACCCTGCTGTACCAGTGCTGCACCCCCTGTGCCCGCACACCGAACCCTGCTGTACCCGGGCACTGCTGAACCACCCCTCCCTGCACACCGAACCCTGCTGTACCCGGGCACTGCTGAACCACCCCTCCTGAGCACTGCTGAACCAGAGCACTGCTGAACCAGCCCTCCTGCACACCGAATCCTGCTGTGCCCGAGCCCTGCTGAACCACCCCTCCTGCACACCGAACCCTGCTGTACCCGGGCCCTGCCGCACCGCCCCTCCCCGCACTCCGAGCCCCGCTCGTCCCGCCCGCCGGGCGTGGCCGGGGTAGGGCCCGCCCGCCTCCCGGCCGGGGAAGGCAGCGCATGGCCCGCTCCGCCGCTCGGGGAATTGACAGAGCGCTGCCAGCGCAGCCCGAGCGCCTCGGAGCAGCTCCGCGGGCAGCGCCGGCCGCGCGGTGCTGGCAGGGGCAGCGGGCAGGACATGGGACAGACAGCGGCAGCGGCAGCAGCAGCACGGAGCCCGCCCCGTGTGTCCGCAGCCCCCAGTAGCTCCATACCTGGACGCCGCCGGCCAGCGCTGCCCCGCAGCAGCCCAGGAGCAGCGCGGCGGTGACCCGGGCCCGGCACAGCCCGGGCAGGGCGGCCGCCATCGCACCCCGCCCCCTGCGCTCACGGCCGGAAGGCGGGGGGCGGCCCCTGCGCAAGTTCCGCGGGCGGGGAGCGCGGCCGGGCCGGGATGTGCCGGGTCCTGTGCCCCGTGTTCCATGCTGTGCCCCGTGTTCCATCCTGTGCCCCGTGTTCCATCCTGTACCCGCTCCCGTGCCCCGTGTTCCATCCTGTGCCCCGTGTTCCATCCTGTGTCCCGTGTTCCATCCTGTGCCCCGTGTTCCATCCTGTGCCCGCTCCCGTGCCCCGTGTTCCATCCTGTGCCCGCTCTGTGTCCCGTGTTCCATCCTGTGCCCGCTCCTGTGCCCGCTCCCGTGCCCCCTGTTCCATCCTGTGCCGGCTCCTGTGTGCCGTGTTCCATCCTGTGCCGGCTCCTGTGTGCCGTGTTCCATGCTGTGCCCCGTGTTCCATCCTGTGCCCTGCTCCGTGCCCAGCCCCGTGGCTCGGTCTCCACTGTGTTCTCTGCAATGCCTGGGCTCTGTCCAGGTCACCAAGAGGGCAGGGCCGAGGGTGCCCTCAGGCCGTGGTGGCCGCAGGGCAGAGCTGGCTCGGAGCGGAGGGGACAGACAGGGAGCTCCTTTGGCAGGGGAGAGCACGGGGTCTAAAAGTAGGTTTTAGTCAGGGAGCATTGCTATAGCCTGGCCTTCAGTGCGCCTGTCCCTCAGAGCTGAGGAATCATCAGGTTTTTATTTCATCTATTGAGCCACTTGGAATTATTCTTTTATTTCCACTAACTCAGCTTGTCACCGCTTTGTTCAATTGCCTGATGCCTTCCATTAGTGAAGATCCAGAATCTGCCCCAAACCATGGAAGCTATTTTCCTGCTCTGTGTACTTGTCAGCGGTAATGACTTTCTCAGACAGGAGCATATTTCCATGTATTGATGTTGGATTTTCAATAGCACCGTGTTTGCTGTTTGAAAGCATCGCCGGGTTCCTTGATAAAAATAACCACCTGTAATTAGATCGCCTTTTTCTGCCTAAAGCTAATGAACCCACTCCCTTTCAAATACTGTAACCACCAGCTCCCATTGTGCCTGAACACGTCTCCTGTGTGAGCCTTTTATGAACCCACTAGGAAGTGCCATGGGCATCAGTGTCTCTTGGTGCCTGCTAAAAGCTGCACTGTTTATCTTCTTGCAACAGAAAACTAAATGAATTTAAAGCCAGGGTCAAACCTCAGCTTTTTCCTTGCCCTTTCAAACGTTTCCACTTAGGTCTCATTCTCAGCTGTGCTCAAGATGAGTCAGTAATTCTAAAGAATGGGCAGATATCCTTCCAAGCGTGTGCTCACGAGGTTTTCATAAACTGGTGAGTTGATTTCATGGGCTTGGATTTGGATATCACCTCACTGCCCTTCAGCTCCCATGTGGAGTGGGTCAGAAAACGTGACAGAAGTTCTGAGCCTTTAATTGAACTTCTTCCAGTTAAGCTTACTTGTTCTTTGCATCTATTACCAATGTTAGTCCTTTGGTAACGTGCATTTTGGTCAACAGCTTTTCCCACAGAAATAATGTCAGAAGTATAACCTGCTGATGCATCTTAGAACCAGGCATAAGTCCTGATGTTTGAACCACACAAAAAGTTATGCCAAATATGGCCAAAAGGCAACTTCAGCTTACCAAGAATTAGTCCTGATGTGAGAAGTAATGAACACCTTTTCTGTGAATAAAACTTTAAATCATCCTATTTGCTTAAAACCTCTTGAAATTTTTATCACAGGTGGCCTTAGTTTTTTCATGTTCTGGAATACTGGACTTTGCAGCTTTAATAACGTTCTTTTAAGGTCACTGTGTAGGGTTTGCTACATAAGAAAAAAGGAAATTGGGGGGGGGGGAAATCAGGAAAATTTCTGTTATGTGGCTGCTGCTGTTGCTCAGGGATTTTGTGCAGTTCTGCAGATGACAGGAGGGTTCAGCTCCTGGTGGAAATCAGAGCTGCACATGCAGGCTCTGGTGTCACATGCTGGCTGCTGCAGGCTGAGAGCAGTGTTGGCAGCCACTGCAGTCACACTGCAGGTGTTACTCGTGGGCTGGAGGTGTTCAGGTCATGCTGCTGCCTGAGTTAGGGCAAACTCAGCTGCATAAGCTCATTGGAATATTCCAAGAGCATGGAATTATTGCCTCTGATTTATCTGCCGTGTAATGTGGTGCAGAGTTCGCCTCTTTAGGTCTGTCTCTGGTTTGCCTTCTGGATTCCCTTACCCTGCCTGAGTGTGTTCTGTAATGGATCTATTTCTTCTCCTACTCGTGGCTTTTATTTCTTTACAGTCTCAGTCTTTCTGGGCTTTAGTATTCATCAGACATGCCTGAGTGTGCCAGTGCTTCAGGCATTATTCCTGGAGGTGGTATCACTTCTCTTTTTTCTTTCCCAGTAAGACAGTACCAAAAGCTTTGTCCTCAGTTTTTTTTTCATCTTTATTCCCTTAGGCAGCTCTCGATACAGACTTGGTGTTTGCTTCCATGCCTGCACAGGGTTGGTTTTTTTTTTTGTCTAGAAATTAAGCTCTATGCTGTTTGCTTCTGTTTCTTCCCTCTGCTTTGTTTCTGTGCTAATCACAGTATTTTTTCATGCTCTGAGTATCTTCAGCTTGACCTTTGCCACAGCGTGTCTTGTACCTCTTGCTGAGTAATTAGAAGGGACACCAGATCCTAAACCAGGGATTTGTGATACCAGAGTCCACCTGACACTTTCTGATCCCAAACCTGCCTTTTTTTCTATACCAAAATACCACTTAAATATCTGTATTTTTATTGTTATTAACCTTGACTGTGTTACCTATCTGTATAAGTGTATCTCTTCCTCCTTCTGTACTCTTGATCATTGTTCTGTTTGTTTTCCTACTTTTTTCAGACCTGCATCATGATTTTCTGCTGTATAAGAGGAAAAAAATGTATGTTTGGCTGTATTTGTTACGCTTCCAAAAGAAAAATTAAAAGGACCTCTTGCAATGAAGCCAATAAGAGTGATTCTTAAGGAACCATCAGGAAGAGCTTGACTGTACTATCTCACTTAAAAATGCAGATTTATTGCTTTCTTAATTTTGGCTGTCAGTACAATAGATTAAAAATGTTGTCACCCAACCAGTCTAGTGCAGTTTGGTATCTGAGCTGATAAAATCTGGGCTATTTTCAAATATGGAACCTGAATGAAACAACAGTAATCAAGTTAATTATTGATCTCACTCCTTTGGGGTTTTTTTCCCTTTCTGTTAGTGGAAGACTGGCCTGACTCCAGAACATTTGTCCTTTGAAAAGATTTACAGCATCAAATAATGCTGATAAAAATTGGGCAAAATGAATGTGGTGAGAATAGCACACAGAATCTGGAGAATCAGAACTTCCAAAGGAACATTACTTGAAGGAAGCCTTTGCTTCTAATATTTCTGAGCTGAAAGAGTTGTACTGCACTTTATCTATCAGCAGATTCTTTTTGTACACTGGTTACACACATCAGACCCCACCAACACTTTTTGTTCATCCACAGCATCAAGTTGCTTAACTCTACACTGGAGTCAAACCAGACACTATTTTTGACTGTTGTTTACAAAGTGAGATCAATTTTACAGGCCTTTGGAGGTCAGAATAGAACACAGGCAAAAGCTTCGGAGCCTGCAATGAGATTCAGTTGACATTTGTTCTTAATGAATTAACCACCTACCTTGTCACCAGTTCTGTCCTGTCACTAAATGATGCAAACATCAGCAGGTGTGGAGTTTCCATAATGGTGAATTGTGTAATAAGCCAGTATTTCATCTTCAGAAGACGTGAAGTTATGAACCATTCCAGCAGCTTATCCTGTTGGTAAAAAAAAAAAAATAAAAAGGTAAAATATGAGAAAACAAATTGTGGGAAAAGAGCAGCAGCTCGTTTAGATAGTTTGATAGGTGCAATAAAATATTTGTTAGTCATGAAATATGAATGCACATCACCTTTGGTCTCAGTGCATCAATATTTTTCTCAATAGAAAAAGCTGAAAATGTTTTGTCAAAACATTCTCATTTATAAAGGTAACAAAATACGTGAAAAATAAACCAGTAAAAAAAAAAACAAACCCAAACACTATCTTCTTAAAATTACCCTCTCCACTGTATTTTTCCATGAATATTTCAAAAGGGTGCGTTCCCAATTAGAAAATTCATTGGCTTCTTAATTAGGAACCAGATAAGAATCTTAATTAAATTGCCCTAAATAAAGCTTTAGACTTTAGAACCACAATCTTCCTCCTGACTTCAAGCAGTGGGTATAACACACCGTGGTTTAGAAGCATTCAGAAGTCATCATTTTTATTCCACTACCAGTTCTGACATCTCTGTGATAATTCCCTCGTGTGTCCCGACTATCTGAGTGTCCTCCCTGCAGGGATGGAGTTGAAGTGGTCTCAGCTCTGCTGGTTAAATCAGCTCAAATAAAGGGCTGTGTTTGCTCTCCCAGCCCAACACTTCAAGCTATTCTGTGTACTCTTCAACTCCTCCACACAGCCTGCAATTTAAATATATCCTTTTGTCTTCCAGGTCATTGTCTTCATTTGCAAGCAAGGGAGTTGTTTTTTTTTATTCTGTTGAGGTGAGAAAATAAACACAAAATGTTTGGGGAAAAAAAAAAAGCACATCAGCTTTACCTGGAAAAAATTAGTATTGTGAAAATCATATTAGAAATAAGATCTGCAGCGAGCACCGAGTCAACTTTGAAAAGGGTTGTACAATAACAAGTACAATAACACTGATTAACATTAAATATTTGAACAGTGTCTAACTCTGAATCCAGTGCATTGCCAGGAAGGGTTATGCAGATCAATGTGTGATGAGAACTGAAATGTTATTAGACCTGATTAGTGGAAGAATGCCCTCGAGATGCAAAATTTAACACAAATCCAAAAATAAGCCGTTAAGAAACTCAAATATTTTCAATGGAAGGAGGAATTTAGTATTTAAAAATGTAAATATGCAGGATTATTTCTGGTTTTCCAGGAGCTATGGAGTAGAGTAGGTCAAAATAGTCCAAAAACTTTTCAGGCAAAAGCTTATTTGTATTTTTTAGAGCAGCTGCTCAGCTGTGAACAAAAGTGGCAGCAGATTTCCACTGAAAATCTGCTCCACACTGAACAATTTCCCTGTCTGCTCAAACAGTGTAAAAGCAGAGCTTTTTGTTCCCTCTTTAGCTGCACCCACCAGGACAGTGCAGAGCTGCCCTGGATCAGGTGGGAGGTGCTGATGCTGAACTGAGCACTTGGAATCCGAGAGATTCCAAATCCACGCTCCTGGAAATTAAAAGTGCCTCTTTCCATGAGCTTATTCACCGGAAAGTGTTCCCAAGCTGAAATGCCAGAATGACTTTGTAAATTGAAATCATGATGCTGGGGAGCCAGACCTCGCTGTGATTTATAAAACCCTGATGAGATCTTTTCTAAGTCAAGGGGACCATCAAGAAACAGCCCCAGTGCTAACAGGAATGAGCAACACATGAATTTGTGCCTGTCATTTCTGTGGGCCTGTCCTGTCCTGTGGCCTGAGCTGATTGCTAAATACAGGTGACATGAAAATGGAAAAGCTGCATTTCATGCAGTTAATGACCTTTTAGATCTGAAGACAGGCATTTGAATTTACACGTTCACTCGAGGTGATTGATTTCTACACGGAGAAAAGGCACCCAGCAGTCAATCAGCTTCAGCTAATCAGGGCCTTAATGGGTGCATTTGCAAAAGTATCACCTTCCTGCACTTTGGTAGCTGTCAAGGATTTCCTTAAACAAAATTTTCTCTCTTTATGACATTATGGAAACGCTAAAAAAAAAAACTTGCACTTTAGCTGCATCTTCATGTTAAATATATATCTCAAGAAAATGATAATACTTAACCTGGTACAGAAATATAAGGATTCCAGATTGAAGTTTCACAAACAGAACAAATTAAGATTATCCTTTTCAGAATAATGACATTAAAATCATGATATAAGGTGAGGGGTACATAAGTTTACTTGCTGCCTAGCTTCAGAATAAAGATGCTTATCATTTGACTCTGCTAAATACAAAAATAATAAATACTTTTTGTCTGTAGAGCACCTCTTCCTGAAAGATCTCAAAGCATTCAGCATTATGAGATTTTAAACTCATTTAAGAGATTTAACTTTAAGCACTTTTAATACAGATTCTTTTCCATGTGTGGGTTTTTGTCACATAAAATGAAGGAGGCTGAGCATATTTTGCCTTCCTTTGTATCCTCACCTAGGAACCAGAAGATTATGAACTGTCTTTTCCATTTCCTTACTTAATTCTGTGTCTAGTTATGATGATCTAAAATTGCCATATTTGTTTTCAAACCCTTTTGTGTACTAAATTAATCTTCACTCATTAGGCTCTTTACCTACTCTGAATCCCAGAAACGAAATGTATTTTTTCCTGGGTTCATAAATTAAAAATCTGGCTTGGAAAGGAAGTTTGTGTCTGTGTGTGTTGGTAATGATGAATGGTCAGGTCTGTCCTTTTTTCCCAGAAATTGCTCCTGACGCTGTTTCCATCCAAGAAATCAGCTGGGGAAGCTGCACAATCGACCTCTACAAGTCGTGTTTTTCTCTCTTCCCTCACCCACAGGCTGCCAGAACAAAGTTTCAGTAGAAAGGCAAGAAAATGCAGTAGAATACCATTAATTGTCAATCAACTTATACAGAACAATAAAATGTCAGCTGCACTAAAGGGGAACTCAAAAAATTACTTCCAAAACTGATTCAGAGGTGATTTAGTTGTATAATGTAGAGAAAGAAGTAATTTAAGGGATCTTTGAATATTCAAGTCTTTCCCAAATAGTACCAATTTAGCTGTAAGTCAGTGATCACTTCTTCAAATACCCAAGAGTCAAAATAATATATTTTTTTTAATTCCTGACCGGTTTTTAATAAATAAGAAAGCCACAAGCACTGAGTTTGTCACTTGTACAGCTCCATCATTTTTTAGTGATGTGCCTCTTGCAGCAGGGAGTTCCCATAGGAATTTGGAGTTCACATTAAACCACTGCTCTGGTTAAAATCTTTCTCTCTTTCTCTCATGTCTCTCATTGTATCTTCAGGTGCAATTTCCTTATCTTGCCTTTGTTCTGCATTCTGATTTGTATCTGATTATTATGTAATGTGCCTATTTTAATCTCTAGATATTGCATTCTATTCACTGCAGTGAAAGAACAAGAAGTTAAACCGAGTTCAAGAACCTTCAATTATCAAAAAAATTACTCACTTTAAGCAAAATTAACCCCTCCCCCCAAAAAAATGTGTTCTTTATAAAAGAAGTCAGAGTTGTGAGCCAATGTCTGCCTAAATTACAGCCTTCCTGGGCTTAGAAAAGTCATTTGGACAGTCATTTCCTACTTTATTCTGCAAGATGAAAACCAAAGAGAGCTTAAGCTCCAAAGGAACGAAGTTCTTTAACCATGAAACAACCACCAGCAGTGGCTGACTGACATTTTGACAGCTACTGCTCTGTGGTGAATGCTGAATACACTCTGAATATGAAAACAGGTGACTTTGTACCAGAACACTGCAGTTATCACCATGGTCACTCTCAACAGGAGGACAATAATGCCAACATTATTCCACTGTGAATCCTAATTATAAAAAAATTGTCGTGTCCCTAATCAGGATTTTTTTTTCCTTGGCATTTATTTTATTCTTTGGCATCCACATACAGCCTGCCCAAAGTTAATAGTACTTGTGTTTGACTACAGGGAAACAAAAATCTGTATTTGTGAATGCCCAGAAAAAAAAGCCCATCCTGGAATTCTTCTTGACCATAGGTAAAAACAATTTTTATCCAACTGAATGGCACTTTTTTTCCCCTTTAATTTGACATCACAATGTTTTGTGCCACTGTAAAAACGTTGAAGGTTCCTCAGCATGAACAGTCCCTGAAATAATTACCTGACTCTTCTGGGCCCTTCATGCAGGAAGTTGGTGTTACTTTCAATTCATTTAGCTTTCTAGTAAAAAATAAGTCAAGATGCTTATCTTTTCAAGAGCTGTACTTTGTGAAAGATGATTTTCAAGGGATAACAAGTTGTAATGCCATAAGGCACTGGTGTGTTTAACCAGTGAAATAAAGCCCAAATGATAAGGAGCAGGGACTCCCAAATTCGAACAACCTTCAGCTCCCCAGTGCTCCCAAGATGAGGTTTAATAGCTGTGCTTGCATTCTTTTCTATTTCCACCACCCACAAGTCATTATTCAGTTCAAGCCTATTTTATTAACTGAATTTTGCCGTGGGTTGTTGTTGTTTTTTTCCCCTCCAGCTACACAAACTCCCTTAGCTCATAAAGAGCAAACAAGACGACCTGAAATTCTTATTTGGGGACAGTTTATAGATTAGAAATTTAAAATCTGTGGTTGGATCCTTAGGATGAAAAGGCAGGGAATTCAAGACTTCCTTGGGAAAAAAAAATCAAAATCACACAGCATTTCTAAGCTGCTAAAAATTCAGTATCCATTGATTTGGGCTGTTTATTAATCAGTCCCTGAAAAATGGGACAAGGAAAACCTCTGCCCTTTATCTCTCACAAACTTGAGGACTTCCTCAAGTGGCAACCCTGAATTTATTAAGTTACATAATGCTGTACAATAGCCTCATTTTATCTAACCATCATAAGCCAGATCGAGGATAAAAATTTAAATACAAAAGTGTGTATGATAATGGGGAATTATTTAAGGTGGAAAAAGAAATGCATCAATTTGCCTTAAAAATAAAGATACATAAGAAAAACATCTATTGCAAGCACTAGAGGCTGCAAGAAATATAAGTGAGAGATTTAAGAACTTTTAAAAAAAATGAGAAGGGAAAAAAAAGGACATAAAATCCAACCAGTAAGGGCGGTGCAACAGCATTTTAAAGAGATGTTTTTTCTGAATAGAAGAGAAAGAAAAGGATCCAAACAGTATTATTGGAAATATGCTCGCATGATTTATCAAAAGTAATCAGAAGACTCCACCAAATATTTCTGTTGCGTATGTAAATGATGAGGTGATGTAATTATAGCACAGCACGAGGGGGAAACATTCTCCACTTCCATTGTAGTAAGGTAAGTTTTATAAAGAGTGGTCACTAAAAATAACTGAGTGAATCTGCAGGTTTGGGTAAGTTGTACTGGAGTTTTAAGGCAGCTGGAAAGGACAGGAAAGGTCACAACAATGATCACTCTGTAATTGCAAAATAAAAGCTTTGGCTATTTAGTTTATCATAACAAAGAGTGACCTGACCATAACATTTTTTTTAAATATCTGATTGAAATATAGATCCTCAGACTTTTAAGCAGCACAATATTCTTTCTTCCCTCCCGTGTTCTGTTCATCTTGGTGTCCTTAAAAGCTACATAAAATGGTAATTCTGGGGCTCAGTGAAATCCAGATCCAGAGATCAGGTTTTTCCAGGTAGATTTTCCACTACCTTTGATTTAGTGATTTAATTCACTTTAGTGACCCGTTTCAGCAGAAAAGGAAAAAAGCTCTATCAGAGTGGAAAAGAAAGGGGAGGGAGAACATCAGGTTTAAAGAAAAGTTAACAACACTGTAGAGTTCAGAAGTGGATTTCTCATTAAAATGTAAAGATTGTTCTAGCAATGTTGGATTAATTTACACAACACTAGACATAATATGGGTCTGCAAGTAAGTTCTGAATTTACATTAAAAGGCATATTATTTCTGGATCAGACTCCTATAATTCAGCATATTCTATCAAAAAGGCTACATGTAATTGTTTTACTTACAGGACCTACAAATTCCAACTGTCCACACATCAGCCTGGATAAGCACATCAATCCAAGGCCATTGGTTCTGATTTAATAAAGCAGAGCAGCAGCTTGGGTGACAAATGCCAGCCACCAGTGCTTGAGCAGGGACTGGGCAAAAAAAATGAGCATTTATAAAACACTGGGGTGTTCTGAAGTGATTTTTGAAAACGTGGAACCTAATTAGGCTCTGACTGAAGGCTATGGGTGTGAGGTAATTGGTTTAACCAAGAAGAAGAGAAGGGCCCAGAACACCGTATTGCAGCTGATCCCATACTAATTCCACATTAGTGCAGCTCCTGGAGGAAACGAGCAGAGCGAGCACGGGATCAGCCCAACGGTGGAGGGTCCACAAGAAGTTTTCAGGATGGATTTACAGAAATGTTGTCACTTTGATAGCAAAATTTCCTTCTTCCTGCTGGAGCTTCTGCCCCTCCAAAGCCTCACCAAAGTGATCCCCCTCAGCCTCAGCCGGGGATGAGGAGCTGCCTGGACCTTCAGGAGCGGGCAGTGCTCTGGAGCTCAGGTGGATGTTCCCGGTTCTGGGAATACCACGGAATGCAAACGCTTCTGTGGTGTTTCCTGATCAGATCCTGCTGCAAGACAAACAGCTCATCTTCCAGCAGCTTCCCTTCTTGTTACCCACACACCTGAGATGACAAATGAGCCAGCTTTGTGTGCCCACTTCGTTAATCTGCGCTTAATCTTTCACTGCCAGCGCTCCTCGGAGCCTTTGAGAAGCTCCGTGACCCCGTTTCAATAGGGGGATTTGGCTGACAGCAAACACATAATAAATGACTTCCAGGAGGGGATACCCTATTATTAGATCCAAAAAAATATTTTCTGCTAGCTTTATTTAACTGAGCAAAGGGCCTGGGAGCCCACGGTAAAAAAGCAACGAGCAGGACAAGACGTTACACAAAAATGTTTCACATTCCTGAGGATGTGAAAGGAAATATTTTTCTCTTACCAACCCAGGATGTGGGATGAGATACTAATTTACCCATAAATGCTGAATATATAAAACTATCTATGCTGAAACCCTATAAATGGAATTTATCTGAGACCATAATACAGATGCATTTTTTTTGGATAAAGAAACAAACAAGTTAAACCCACAAAATGCCAAAACCACAACTCTCTCTGCCTAAATAGAATGGCATCTTCCATTAGCCCTCTTTCCTTAGGAAAGACATTATTTTAAGAAAATATCTATTTCATTTAATTCCGTCTTCCTCTTGCCAAACTTCATTTAAGGTCTTTTAAAAGCAATTACATCTCATACCTTTTGGTTAGGACATTGGAGCCTACTCTACTTTTTACTCAGTCAAAATTGAGGTCCTGTGCTTTTCCATGAATTTACATCTGGGTGTATTAAAATCATAGCAGAAGACAGTAGGGTTAAAGCCACGTCCAGATTTTATGGGAGGATGAGGAAGTCTGCAGATGAATGCTGATTAAACTCTCCAGCAAAGACTAAACTCTTCCTTAAACATGAGAAGTGTCAATCCACAGGATGACTTGGAAAACCAACCAGTCCAAGTTGTCATAAGAAGATCCTGGGAGTGTCTCCAGAGCAGCGCTGAGCAATTTGTGGAATGAACAACGACTGGAAGGCTCTGGGAGAAAGGGAAGTGTCTTCATAAAAAGCTGGAGGCCTGGCTGAGGAAAGGGAGGGCAGTTCAGCTACAGAAGCAGCAAAACAAGGATTGTGGCTGCAGCTGAGAGGGCATCAGTTTGTCGAACTGATACTGAGCCACAAATCATATCCAAGGACAGGGTGCTTAAAAGACTCCTGAGATATCCTATGACTGAAAAATAGGGAGATACAGAAAGCAGTTGCTCAGTGTTCTTTGTAAGTTTGCAATCAGATAACCTATTTCTTGTTAGGGTGTGCCCCAGCAGGACTACAACGATGTTGTGTTAGAAAAGAAAATAAAATTAAAATCTAATTGAACATCAGATGATATCGGACAGTTCATCACTGAAATAATCTACTCTGACTTCCAGTGTGTTACAGAGCATCAGGGACACTATCCCCTGCTTAGCACTCCTCAGAGTTCATGGACAATAATGCACCCTGGCTTGGGCTCCCCAATAAAAGAGAGATGTGGATAAACTGGAGTGAGTTCAGTTAGACAGCAACAGAGATGGTCAGGGATGAGAGACTTGTCCTTGAGGACAGGCAGAGGGAACTGTTCAGCCTCTGGCAGGCTTAGAGGGCACATCGAAGCACCCCTCCAAGACTTGATAGGAGGTTGTCATGAAAATGGAACCAGGCTCTTCACAGTGGTGCAATGGTGGGCAAGGGACAAACTGAGACGTGGAAGGTCCTAACTGAATAGATGGAAACCCTTTCTCATGTCTAGGCCAGCCAAGCACGGGTTACTCAGAGATGTTCTTCAGTCTCCATCCTCGGAGGTTTTGCAAGATGAGACCAGATAAAAGCCCTGAGCAACCTGATCTGACCTCAAGAGCTGCCCTTGCCCTGAGCCGGGAGGCTGCACCAGGGATAATTCCAGGTCTCTTCCCGTGACCCGCCGATCACAGATCACTGATGCTCCTGACTGATCGTAGCTCGTGGCCTTTCGCCAGCCCGAAGTGCATGAAACGTCTCGCTCTTCGAAACGCCAGCAAGCCCTGCTAAGGGCAGGCAGAGACCGCGTTATAGCGGGAAGCTCCAGCAGCGCCCAGCCCTGCCCGCCGCCTCCCCGGAGCGCAGCCCGGGAGCCGGAGCGCTCCCCGCCGGGGCAGCCGGCCCGAGGCTCGGGGCCAGGCACGGCCCCAGGCTCAGCCCCAGCTCAGCCCTCCCCGCCGGCATCCCCGAACTTTGGGCGGCAGGCTGAGCACGCCCGCCCTCCCCGCGGGGGGAGAACGCGCTCCGCTCCCTCCGTGCAGCGGGGCCGGGGGGCGGGCGGCTGCCTCCCTCCCTCCTGCCTCCCTCCCTCCTGCCTCTCTCCTGCCTCTCTCCTGCCTCCCTCCTGCCTCCTCCTCCTCCTCGCCAGGCTCCCGCATTGCACCGCCGCGCCGAGCCGAGCGCGGGGCTCGGGCTGCCCCGCCGGCCCCGGCTGGCGGAATGAGCGCGGGCGAGGCCAAGGAGTACCTGGCCCGCAGGGAGATCCCGCAGCTTTTCGAGGTAGGTGAGGCGCGGCGAAGGGGACGGGGGGGATGTGGCGGCGTTTTCCGCCCCGTCGGGGCGTGCTCCGCGCCGGGCGGGCAGGGCTGGGGACGCTGAAGGTGGCTGGAAGGACGGGGCGGTCGCGCTGCCCCGGCACGGGTGGGCTCTGCCCGCCGCCCACCCGCGGAGCCCCCGCGGCCGCGCCCCTCCGGCCGCCGGGCTGCGGCACGACCCGCGTGTCCGCGGGGCAGAGGGGAGCCCGGAGATGCGGGAGGGGGGCATCGCCCTGCGGTCCTGAGGGAAGGGAAGGAAAAAAAGGCAGCGTGGTTTCGTTTAGCTTCCCGCAAGTTACCTGCTGCTGATGGCTGGTAGATTACTTGGCTGTGCGGTGTGGATTTTTTTTTTTTTTTTTGGTCTCTGAATCAGACATCCTGTAAATCTATAGAAAAGGCACACAGACACATACGTGCTTTCCCTTGCCTGTGCTAAGGAGAGGCGTTTTTCTGTGTATTTGGAAATCACGGGACGCAGAGCACGCTAATGTCTTAAAAACACAGCCAGAGTGTGAATGGTTTAGCAAGAGATGCAGACAGAACTGGTTTTCTGTAGAGGTTCCGAGCTCGAGCTAGAGATTTTTAAAAATTGGTGCCTGTCTTCTGCACAAATCCATGGCTAGCTGCTGTGATCAGTTCAGTAGTGTAGTAAGGGCACAGATGCAGAGAAATGATAACCTATTTTATAAGTCCAAATGTGTGTAAATAACAGTCGCTGTATAAACTATAAATAACAACTGAGCAAGTCCTGGATTGGAGCTGTTTGTGTTTACTACTAATGCCAGCTATAAGCGTCAAGTTTATTCACACAAAGATTAGGAAGAGCACAAAGGAATGGGAATCACCCCGAGAGGCAGTTATTGTTCAGGGGAGGCTGGATGCAACGCCCTTGTGGAGAGGTGAGATGATGACTTATGTGTCACTTTGTCAAGGAAAATCGATTCCCATGCGTCGGAGGAGGGCCTGGCAGTGCTTCCTCCACGCTCCCCTCAGCGCTCGTGGCTAGGATGGCTGCAGAATTAATTCTCTAGAGAGGGCTTCGAATTCCTCATCAATTAAATCAGGAACCACCTATGAATTTCGGGGATGTGGGTTTGGGGTTTTCTTTTCCTGATCGAGATGATATTTGAGTATTTCTCATGATTTTTAAAACCCCTTTTTTTCATTGCCCGTGTGTTGACAAGAATATGAATGAGGTACTTGTGAGTGCACTGGCCTTTAAAGAGAAGATACATTTTAGTGAGGTCAAAGACTACAAAGAATACGTAACTTTTGGGGCTCTCTAGCTTGGGTTGCTCTGCCTGCGCTTGGCAGTGGTTGTTCTAAGAAAAATATAGAGGGTTTTTTGCTATGGTCAGGTTTTATCACATTGCAGAGAGACAAATATAAAGACACAGCCATGAGCTTCCCGTTCTGAGTCATTTTTATGACATTGGCAAACCAAAATGGGACGATTTTTGCAGGCCTTGGTTTTATGTGTTGGCTTGAAAAGGAGAATCTGAATGTACAAGGAATGTGGGACTGCTGTGTGGAAAGTCAAAGGCAAAGTAAAGGTGCTTGTTTTTTTTCCTGGCATCTACCATGATAAGTGTGTATTTCTGATCTTACATTTCAGAGCCTGTTGAATGGATTAATGTGTTACAAGCCCGATGACCCCATTGAATATTTGGAAAGCTGTTTGCAGAAAGTCAAAGAGCTTGGAGGGCCAGAAAAAGTGAAATGGGACACTTTTGTCAGCCCAGAAAAGAAGACCCTGCCTCCCCTCAATGGAGGACAACCCAGGAGGTCTTTCCTCAGGAATGGTAATGTATTAAATGTAAAACTATATTTCTCGTACCGTGTGTGGTTTTACATCCACTGCTGAATTATTTTGTAGCAGATCGTGCCTCATTCTGATTTTCCACAGGCAAAGGAGTCAAGAATTCTGTTTCCTTGTGTTTTGGCATTTGTTTTTCTCCTTCCATAACGGCTGGTGGGCAGGAGAGGAAATTGTGATCACTCTGCAGCCAAATGAGGGATGTTTGCTGTGTCAACCTTTAAGACATTAGTGGAGAGATTTCTCGGAACCTGCTTCAAACATTTGCAAAGATGGGGCAGAGTTGGATCAGTGCACTTGGCTTGTATTTTTATTTGGTTGTAGTGGATGACAAACATACCAACTTCAGTGGTTTTCCTGGTTTATATTGGAGCTACGTGCTAATTTCCTAAATACGATGCAAATTATAAACTCTTAGGAAAAGGTGCATCTCGTAAAATCCGAGCAGCTGTCATACCAATACCTGTAATTATTTTATTTGTAACGTTAACAAAGAGCAATTAGCTCATCTTTCAGTTGCCATAGTTATTCCTCCTTGCCATGCAGCATTTCATTTCACTAATTAGCAGGAACACTGTGCCTGTGTACAGCGTGTGTCACCAAAAGAGTCCTGCTTGACAGTGCAGCTCATCTGCACCGTGCAAAGCTTTGCTGCTCAGAGGCCACTGCTGAACTCTGGGGGCTGCGGGCAGATGTTCACAGAGCACCTGATGTGCTGCTGAGGAAACTCCAGAGAAAATGACTCTGAGTGGTGGCAATTTAATCAATCAGCTAAATAGAGGGGAATATTTAATGCAGCAACAGCAGACGCAGTGGGAAATTAGGAGATATTCATGCCCGTTTAAATCTTTGTACACACCAGAGTTTGAGTTTTCTGCCTGTCCTGCAGTCTCCAGTGGCTCTCACTGTTTTACAGTGCTGCCTGACAATTCCACCTTCCCGTACCGGCGCTATGACAGACTGCCCCCCATCCAGCAGTTCTCCATCGAGAGCGACACCGACCTGTCCGAGACCGCCGAGCTGATCGAGGAGTACGACGTGTTTGACCCTGCCAGACCTCGCCCCAAAATCATCCTTGTCATAGGTATGAAAGGGGTCGGGTTTTACACACTTTTATCTCTGTTACTTTGCCCTTTGGTTTGTCCTGCAGATTCAGTGATCGCCTACGTGAATTTAAACACGATTTTTTCCGTCTGCCCGGTTAGGAGCGGGAAATTGTTGGTGCTGAGGTAATGGCATCCCAACTGCAGGCGTTAGTTAGTTGTGCTTTCTCCCCAGGTTCTCTCCTGTGAGCTGTTTAGTGGCCTTTCTAAGCAACTTGTGCTTTCCAGCCTCAGGCAAGCATAAGTTATTAAAAAATACCTGCAGTTTAAGCCTAAATCAATGGTTTATTCTGGTTTTGAACTGAAGTTCTTTGAGCTGGTTTCCTTGTCATCTGGGATAATTATCTTCAGAAATTTTACTGCCAGGCCTAATTCTCTGAATGGTTTAAAGAGCTCCAGCATGGGTGCCAGGTGATGGACAGCTACATTTTTTAGCCTATAAAGCTTTATTGATATTAAAGAGAGATATTGCTTCCATAACAATGTACATGTAGTGTAGGAAAAGAGAGTCTGTTCTGGTGTGTTTTGATTGAAACACATTACTTTGTGTAGCAGGGCAGCCATTGTCCATTCTTGTACAGTATCAAGAAGATTTCTCCTCCCAAATTCAACTTGCCATGGAGAAAGCACATGGAATGAATAAAAGAATAATTCATATACCAAATAAAAGAGGAAAAAAGAAAAAAAGCCTGCTATTAATTTCAAGAGGCGAGGACTGCACACACAAAACCTGTTGCACATTTTCCATTTTGTGTAAAATGGCAACAAGAAATTCAGTTAAGCAACATATTTATGTCAGATTAGTGATAACAAATCATCCTGCCTAGCTCAGGTTGTGGTGCCATTCACTGTTAGGGACTGAAATGAAGTTAAAGACCTGTCCTCTGCTTCGCAGAATAGGTGAACTTTTCTTTATTGATGCTTTTTAGTGCTTCCATAAAGGTTTTTATAACTTCTTTGCTTTATGAAATCTGTCACCCTCACAACGAAGCTGGCAGCTCCAGGGCAAAAGAGAACTCAGGAAGGTGGGGGTTTGTTCTTGTTCTGCTTTGCAGAAGAGTGCATGACTGGATTTTGGAGGGATCAGGTGGAACCAGCCAGGCTGGCACACAGCTGGATCACTGGAAAAATTAAGTTTCTAAGGCATTATAATGCTGGGAAACTAGATTGTGGTTATAAATGTGCTTCCTAACGTGCTTTAACAAACACATTTTTACTATTGATACAGCCTGAATGTAGAGATCTTAAAATATGAGTTACCTGGTGTCATTAGCTCAGTGGGTTTTAGCTGCTCTTTGTTAAAAACCTGCACTCTAAAAGAATACACTTTCCTTTGGTGATCAAAGCTTAAAGGCTGGATCAAAGACAGTGCTGTCAGCAAGCAGCTGCTTCTTGATCCGTTAAATACAGATTTTAAAGGCAAAAGTATTTACAGAAATCTTATTATTAGATGAATTCATTCTGAATTTACAACAAAATTGAGATTTTGAGCTGCTGGTGACAAAATCAGATTAAAACAGCTGCTTCAGTAAAACTTCTTGGGCATACAAATCTTCACTGGAGACCCCTTAGCAAACAGAATTTTAGATGCAACAAGTGTTCCCTGGCCTAGACATCTTCTAGAAATATGTAAAATAATCACACTTTTCTTGAATGCTGCATAATCTCAGAATAAGTGAAAAGAACAAAAACCAAAAGTGATTTGGTTCTCCTTTCTTATGAACAGTTTGTCAGAGTGATTTATCAAAGAATCAGGAATGGATGCACAGTTCAATAAATTACAATGATTTCCTGTAGGAAGTAATTTTGTCCTATCTCTTTTTCCCTTATTTTATTATTATATTTCCCTTATTTTTATTATTCTATTACCTGAATGTTTCCCCTCAGAATGTAAATGGATAATCCCAGCATGCTGTAAAGGGATAGATTTGGACTGAGAAAAACAAACTGTGGGGGAAGTTTATGAACATTAAAGCAAACACTTCATTAGTTATTTTCTGATCATTCAATTCAAATTGGAAGAACAGAAGTGCCAAAGTGTTTTGGTTTTTTTTCTGCTTCTCTTTAATGGCAAAGCAAAGCTCTCCCTGCCTGGAGTGTGAAGTCCATCTGCTTGTTTCAAGCAGGTTTTTTTTTCAGCTCTTTTATGCTTTTACTTTCATTGTGTTGCCCTATTTTTTAAAGTTCATAAGAAATGTATCTTTTTAATCTTAAATCTTTGTCTGTTGAAATAAAATTCAGTGTTCTCACACAGAATTCCCCAGACTAGAGCTGTTTAGTGCTGGGAACCATTGCCAAAAGATTGGGTTTGGGTGTGCTTTGTTACACAGTATCACACACTTTTCTGTATATAAACAGTTATTTTTGTTCCCTGCTTTTACATACTGGATTCCAGGTTCTCTGTTCATCACATCATGACATTTCCTCTTGGTTCAGATATGCTCTGATTGTTTTAGAGGCATTCTTGCTTCTGCTGTCCAGCTGACCTTCACTTCAGCTTTCCCTCTGGTGGAATGGAGCTGTTTGTTGTGACTTTGATACCTGTTTGGTCTGGGTTATACCTATTGATAATAATATTATTATTAAACCTATTGAAGGGTCTCTTTGGGTTGTCCAGCAAGCTGAGCCTCACAAACTGCTCCTCTGGGAGATGCTTCAAGCATCAGCACCAGGAGTATTCATGGTTCAATAAAAATCCTTGTACCAAATCACTATGGAAACATCTCGGCCGATTATTTAGTATTTTTCTGTACTGTAAAATTAGGAAACCTCAGAAAGTTGTGCAAGCACGTTTAGGAGCAGATTTTATTAGTCACTTCATGACTAGTCCATTGGTGTAACTGGGTTATTGAACTAAGTGTGATTCTTTCTGACATGAGTGCAGTTCAGGCTATCTGGCTCTGCCTTTGGATTCGTAGAGTTCAAGAAGGGAAAAGTTCATTTTCTGTTCCTCTGCTACAGACCAAGAAAAACCCTGTGCCAGGAACAGCTTTATAAAATGAGGTCCAGCCTAAAAGAGTGCATTGGGTTTTATTTTGCCACTAGGTTTGGTTTGTTTTTTTTTAAGCTCCTATTCCAAACCATTACCTTTGTGATCTGGTAGATGAGAGGCAAGATTGACTCTAATAATGGCTGAAGAATTGGTGCCCGTAGCAAAGATTCCAAGTTCTTCTTGGAATTTTTGGAATTGGAAGATTTGGTTCTTCAGGTGAAAGGTTGGTTTAATGCCTGGCTTCCAACTGACAACAGGTGGCCCAGGGAGCGGCAAAGGGACGCAGAGCTTGAAAATAGCCGAGCGTTACGGCTTCAGCTACATCTCGGTGGGGGAACTGCTGAGGAAGAAGATCCACAGCACCAGCAGCAACAGAAAATGGAGCCTCATCGCCAAAATAATCACCACGGGAGAACTGGCCCCTCAGGTACCCTGCATACGGTATCTACGTGCTGCATTAACGTGCACTGGCAAGAAAATTTCCTTTACAATATTGAATAACCAACTCCTTTTGTCTGTGCAAGGAAACCACCATCACTGAGATAAAGCAGAGATTAATGCAGATCCCTGATGAAGAGGGGATAGTGATTGATGGATTTCCCAGAGATGTTGCCCAGGCAATCTCCTTTGAGGACCAAGTAAGAAACTGGTTTTTATTCTTAAAATATCCTTAAAATATCAACTTCACGTATCTCTACACCAGTCAAGCTTGTGGAAATCTTAAGTCAGGTTCCAAGAAGGAGCACTGCTCTTTAAGTCTCTGCAAGTACATAATTACAGGTTGACAGAAGGTTATTCTTTTGCTTTATGTTGTGTTCTGTCCTGTCTGAAGACAGACCATTCTGCAAAATGAAAATGTGACAGTATAACCAATAATCCAAGGCTATTGTCTCACTCATGAGAATCCTTGCAAGATGGAGAAGAAAACATGAAATCTAACCATGAATTTTGTTTTGTATCTTAGTGATTTGGAAGGGGGGAAAACGTATTTCCATATCTGTTTGTTCAACTTAATCTAAATTAAGAGAAACAGACTTAAAGCAATGCCTGTCTTCACAATGCTTTTAATCTCAGGTTTATTGCAGTGCACTGAAAAGTCGAATAAAATATGAGTCAAAACTGCTCATCTTTTGCAAGGTTTCATAAACCAGAAATTATGCTCTTTCTTTAGAAAATTACATCATTTTGTTTGTTCTGCACTACAGTTCTAGGGTTTAGTCAGCTGAAACTGCTTCCTTGAGTGTATTCACGTGCTGTTTTCATGGGTGTATTTTAAACTAATCTAAAAATACCTAAACTGAGTGGAAAAACAAACAAGTTTATATCATTTTCTGATGAGGCACTGCTAGCAGAACAGTTATGGTCACAAGTAAAGGTTGCAGTTTCAGAGCTGAACTCTTTGAGTGCCTCCATGCAGAGCATTCCAAAGTCCTTCCCAGTTGCTGGTGGCTGCTGTTCCTGTGCTCGGAGCGGCACTGCCAAGGCAGAAGCAATGAAACAAAGCAGCTAATGAGGCATTTCATTAGTGTGCTTTTACAAGGTATTATTCTGGGCAAAATTTAGAAGACTGAATTGGGGAAATTAAAGGAAACAGGCAAAATAGTTATTACAGGAAATAGCGATGACTGCCAGCACTCTCTCCTCACGATTAACCTAAGAGGAGACTGTTTTATGAGGGAAGCAGCAGAAATGAAGGCTTAACAATCATTTCCTTCTGCCATTTTTATTTGTCCAGTAAAAGATGTGACAGTGGGACTCCTGTGCATTTCTTGGGGCTGTGGTTTTGTGCTGATGTTGTTTATGATGGAAGGAAGGGGAATACAAAACCCAATGACAGGAATTGAGTGCTTTGAGTTGTCCCAGGCTCAGCTTCTCTTTCTGCAAAGGGAGAGCAGTTAAAAACACTGGGCTGTATTCTCAGAGAGTTCCTTCCTTTTCAGTCAGTTGGGATTGGCTCAATCCTGCTCCTCAAGGCCTGATTGTGCCTGAAAGATGGATCACTCCTTAAGTCTCTAAAAAAATCCAGGAGTGCTTCATACAGGGGCACCTTTCAGTCTTACCACTCTGAAAAGAAATAGCTTACCAGAAGGAATCCTAGACCTTTTATAGGAGCACAGGGAGGAAAATGTTTTCTGTTTAGGCTCCCTCTCTGTCATCTCTCATAGCAGCTGATCTGTTCCATGAACATATCTGAGGCCATGGAAATGAATGTGCAAAGGACAGACATATTTCAGCTCTGAACATCTGTGTCTATACCAGTGAGATATATTCAGTGTTTTATCGTGGATTTATAGTTTAAAGCCATAAAATATGCTTGTTGTTTCTTTACAATTCTCTGTTTGGTAAGCCATGATGCTGCACACATAAGAAGGAAGGCCTTGTGGGAAGGAAATGGGGACTCTCAGCAGCAGTGCTGCTCCTTTTCCTTCCCAGGCTGAGGCTGACAGTAACCCACGGCACGTCAGGTTGTTCACATTAAACATGCAAACACTTCCAAGGCACTCAGAGAGTCCTCGATGGGAAGTGCAATTGAGTTGTGGAGAATTCAGTAATTAAGTGTGGTGATAATTTGTGTAGGTCTGCAATTAGAGATGCTGGGGGGTTTTTCCACAGCTCAGAAATGCTTGCTTTCCAGCAGTGTGGAGAAGCACAGAACAGAATTGTTCTCATTAGCCACAGGATGAGAAGTAGCTGAAATTTCAGCGAAGTTTTGATGATTAAACAGCAAGACAATTTTAATTAGGTCTGTTCAGCCACGGAGCATCCTTTGAAGAGAAGGGTGAAATCCCACAAGATGCAGGTGGTCAAGTCATACCCGTGCCTTGTTCTTACAGAGACATCCCCTGTGGAACCCTGAGATCTGTCAATGAAGAGTTCTAAGAACTGATTCTGAGTGTTGTCACTGGTTTTGTCCTGGGTGAATGCTTATTCTTACAGGTGGTCCCTTTGAGACCAGTGCAACGCTCAAGTACCTGAAAACAGCAGAAAAGTTTGTATAACACATACAAATTCTTTGCCACTGTTTACACAAACACAGTCTCCAAGAAGATGTGTAGTAAGAAGACCAAAAATAAACTGGGGGGTGGGAGGGAATGTGAGGAGCAAGTTCTTAAACTGAATGGAAATAGAGATGAGCAACACAGGATATTGAGAGAGCAGGTAAGGCTGGAACAGAGACTGAACAAATGTGAGGAAAATGGGAAGAGTATAAACAAAACAGGCTGCAAACACCTGACATAGTTCAGGAAAGCATGTCTGGTGGTTACTGGTCCTAAGAAGTCTATATTGTTTTATTACACATATGTTGTTCCTGTGTGAGAAAGTATCTGGACCCAACGTATCATCATAAAGAGACAGGGAGTCAAAACTTGGAGCAGATGTGAGCTGGTCAGTAAATGGTGAACCAGGAGAGAGCCTGAACATTTTTTGTATTTATTACTACCTGGTTTTCCTCAGTAAGAACTGTGGAGTTCAGCAGGAGGGGAAAGGACAGCTAAGGCACCTGCTTTCTCTGGAAAGCACATGTAAAGTCTAACTGCTGTGTTTGCAGTCATCTGTAATGTAACACATTATTTATGCCAAATTAATTCTTTCAGTTTATGGCTCACAGAGCTGTTCCTAAGACTTGACACCGTGTGAGCTTTCATAGGCCTCTTCATTTTGTGGAAAAATCAAAGGAGCACATACTGAACTCCAGTACCTGTCCTGCACAACAATCTGTTACAGAAACACATGGGGATAATGACTGCTCGGTAAACTTCACTTGTAATTGCTCTTGCTGCTACCAGCACATTTTTATCCCTTCGACTCATCCACAAGCTGAACTTCTCTCAGGGAAAAAAAATGTTATTTTTAGTAAAGGAATCAAAGCAAAACAAATGATGCAAACATTCCCACACATAGGTATAGCTAAAAGATGAATTCCTCCTTATTGTGTTGGCAGACTCTGGTGTGGACAGCGAGTCCTCAGCACGTTGCTAGGCAGGATTGTATCAAACCACGTTGCATCTGGGTGACTAAAGTGCTTAAGATAAAGCAATGTATCATCTGCAGCACTCCCAGCACTTCTCTGTCTGCTCACATCTACAAACCACGAGTCACAAACGCTGCTCCCAAGCCGTGCTGTCAGTCTGGAACAAGTGAATTAGAGAGCACTTTACACATCTCAGGGATCTTACATTGAATTTATGCTGCTTTTTTTTTTTCCCCCCCCACTGCTTTTGTATTGAGTTTTATCGGTGTCACTGGTCCTGTCATCCCTATCTTTTGAGCAGGGAAGAAGTCTGTAAGCTGGCATCAGGGATGTTTGCAGATTTTCAGCAGGGTTTGCCAGCCAGCTCCATCTTCAGCTGTGAGTGCTCAGCCAGGAGCACTTCAGTTCTCTTGGAACTTTTTACCAAGGTGAAACCAGGCCTGGATTTTTCCCTTTGAAAACAGAGTTTAATGAGTAAATTCCCTCATTGGAAGTCTTAGGCTGTTGCCTTTCCCTCTCATTTCTCAGTTCCAGAGAGCAGAGTCAAGGCTGCCAACGCTTTTGATGGGCGTGCTTTTAATAAAGCCCTGAAGTTCCAAGTTGTGGAGAAAAAAAGAAAATGAAAACATGAATTTTAATGTCTTAAAATCAAATAGAACTTGCAGTTGATGTATCTCTCTGAAATACAGGATATTTTCTGCGTTTTGATCATTTTGAAATCCTTCTGCATAGCATTTGGAATTTTTAATACCGATGTAATATGAAATATTCGGTTTGATCCTAGGCATGGAACTATCCTAAATCACAAACTTCTAAGCTCTCCATGACCTCTGCCGAGTGCAAATAGTAGAAAGGTGTTTAGATTTCAAGGGCAGCACTCGAAGATGCCAAGGAGAAGATGGTTTATTTACCATTAAGCTGTCAGTTTGAAATTCAGCGAGTCAGCTGCAGGCCCAGCATGCTGAAGCATTCTGAACATCCTCCTCTCCAGTGCCACTGCAGTGAAACTCCCCTGACTGCTGTATTGAACTCAAATGGCTTGGGAACAAACTGCAGTTTGGCTTTCTGTGTCATCTCTCTCGTGGTTTTTCCCATTTTCCAGGAGAAACAATTAACTGTATTTTACAGTTAGTTTCAGTTACTGCTTTACTTTGCTTTGTTTTTCCCCCCCACTTTCAGCCATTCACGGGTGTAACTTTCCTTCCTATCTAAGTAATTCCTTCACTCATATGAAGCTTCTAAGTGTACAGGTGTAGTTTGCTTAAAATGCATAATTAGTGATTATTTTTTAGTAGTGACACAGATGTAGAACAGGTGTTAGAATCAATGGCTGTTGTCAATGACTGATGGCAGCCTATCTGCCAAGCTGCAGCTGTCACAACACCCACTGTCACCGGCCAGGAGCGAGGGCTCCACAACGCTGGGCGAGTCAGTGCAGCCCTGTGGGGAATCTTGAGGGGGAAGGACCTGTGTCTTCATTCCATCTCCTCAACTTCCAGCTCCCTGTCCTAAATCTCCACTCCACTGATCCAGTACCTGGTGGTCAATGTGAGCAGTGGGAGTGCTACCACATCATCAGCACTCTGCTTTGCTGTCTTTGACCCCCTGAGTTCTGCTTTCCTGAAGCCAAGCCTGACCAGGCAGCCTGTGGAATGTTCTTGTCATCATCTGCCTTCTCTCCTGGAAGCTGGAGCAGTCTCCAGAGAAAGACAGGCAGTGGTTCCATTCTCTGCTTGGGTGAGAGGCCCTGGAGCTCAGGTTTGCTGTTTTGTTTTCCTGGAGCTCAGGTTTACTGGTTTTTTTCCTGGAGCTCAGGTTTGCTGTTTGTTTTCCTGGAGCTCAGGTTTGCTGTTTTGTTTTCCTGGAGCTCAGGTTTGCTGGTTTTTTTCCTGGAGCTCAGGTTTGCTGTTTGTTTTCCTGGAGCTCAGGTTTGCTGTTTTTTTTCCTGGAGCTCAGGTTTGCTGTTTATTTTCCTGGAGCTCAGGTTTGCTGTTTGTTTTCCTGGAGCTCAGGTTTGCTGGGGTTTTTTTCCTGGAGCTCAGGTTTGCTGGTTTTTTTCCTGGAGCTCAAGTTTGCTGTTTTTTTATCCTGGAGCTCAGGTTTGCTGATTTTTTTTCCTGGAGCTCAGGTTTGCTGTTTTATTTTCCTGGAGCTCAGGTTTACTGTTTTCCTGGAGCTCAGGTTTGCTGTTTGTTTTCCTGGAGCTCAGGTTTGCTGTTTTATTTTCCTGGAGCTCAGGTTTGCTGTTTTTTTTCCTGGAGCTCAGGTTTGCTGTTTTTTTTTCCTGGAGCTCAGGTTTGCTGTTTTGTTTTCCTGGAGCTCAGGTTTGCTGTTTTTTTTCCTGGACCTCAGGTTTGCTGTTTTCCTGGAGCTCAGGTTTGCTGTTTGTTTTCCTGGAGCTCAAGTTTGCTGTTCTTTTTTCCTGGAGCTCAGGTTTGCTGTTTTCCTGGAGCTCAGGTTTGCTGTTTGTTTTCCTGGAGCAGGACAGCTCATCATCCATTGCTGCTCCTCAGGAGAGGACCAGGTGTTCTGAGCTGAGGGTGGATGGGGGTTTCTGATGAGTGGTTCTGGAGCTGAGGTCCTATTTACAAACAGGGTTTTTTATCAGTTCAGTGGAAATCTGAATCAGTTCTCCCCAAACACACCAGTCTCTCTCAATCATCAGGGGGGCTAATTACGTGCTCTGGGCAATTTGCTGGGAAGTTGTTTCTTGGGCAGTGTGAGTGTGGTTGAGAAGTAGTTACCAGAAAAACATTCTGCCTACAGGATTCATTCTTTGACAACGAGATTCGTGGTTTTGCTTTCTTAAAACGAGAAAAAAACTATGCAGACAGCCCAGTCAGCCAGCAGAGATGGAACTGTAAAAAGGAAATCAGTAATTACAAGGGAGAGCACACGTACCATGGACATGAACTTGCTTACCAGTAACCTTTGCCAGTAAGAATGAAATGCCCTGTTAAATTACTGGCACTTGGTCATGAGCTATCAGTTTGCTCAGGAGTATCTGCTAGAACATACCAGGAATTAAGAAATGCAGCATTTTCATCTCTTGCCTAATGAGGACTAATGAGAGAGAGTGTAATCATCTTATTTCTAGCAAACAAGCACACTATTCTCACTAACAAGAGGAGATGTAGAAAATATCCCCAGAGAAAAGAGAGCATCTCTCCACTTACACTGTTTAATGTCAACAACACCATCACCTTGCATAGAATGACTCTCAATTTACTCCTGGTTCCAGTTTAGGGAGGAGATTCAGACCCAAAGAGAGTAGGATTTACTTACTAGTAAATACTCTTGTAAAAAAGGAGAGGATGTACCCACATCCTCAGTTTTTTATTCTGAGTTGATGCCATATGCTCTTCAATATCCAATAACCAGAGACCTGTCTGTTCCCACTGGCAAAGATTCTCCCTTCTGCTGACTTCCAGCTAGCCAAAATTCCCTTCCCTGAGCCCCCCATCCTACCTCACAGGCCTTTCTGGACGTGACTAAAACCCTCTGCCCTCAGCATCAGGTGGGGAATCAGCAAGAAGGAATCCAATCCTCCTGGCTGTGATGCTTCCCTGCACCTTTCCTACAAGCTGTGCCTGGGAATAAAACTCATTCCCCGACCATAAAACTCAACAACACTTCGTTCCCAGTTTGCAAAATAAGTTTCTTTTCAAATGAGTCACAAAGAAGCTTTTCCTTGGGTAGGAAAAAGCAATTTATATTCATATTTCCTTAGGAGAATAGATGTGTTTCTAGAGGAGTCCACAGATTCAGCCTGGCCCGTTGTGTTCCAGCTCAGAGTGTTTTAAGCCTGCCTTGCAGAGGAAAGTGGAAGCAGAAAACCAGGAGTGAAACATCGATAGCATTTCAAGGTTGCATCCTGAAGGTTGGAAATGCACGTAGGAGGAATAAATTAAGTGCTGTTAGGTCTGTGTGCCTGAGGATGGAGGAGAGATGTTCCCCTTTTTTTGTGCATCTTGTGTTTATTACGTGCTTTTCAGCCTCTTTCTGGGGATAAAGATGCATATTCTGCAGGTAAAAGATGAATTCACGGACACAGCACAGAATCAGAATCTGCTTTGTGTTCCTACCTCAAATGTGCTTGAATTATTTTTTTTTTTACTTCATTTGAAACCAGGCTACTTGAACTGAGAATTTTAAAATGTTGTTTTCCTTGACATTTTGTTTCTGTGAGTGAAATATATTTTGAATTACAGAACCCAGAGTGTCAGGAAAAAAAGTAGTCTTAATTCCCGGGATTCTGAGGGTGTCCCTTTGGTGTTGTTGCTGTTACTTGTAAAAAACAACAACAACAACAGTGCTGAGGTCCTGTAGACAACTTTCCATTTTTAAAAGCAAAAGGAAATAATTAAACCGAACTAATTAATTATTTGTCCGGGTTGTATCTTCTCAATACCCTCATTTTACAGTTAGGGGGGAAAAAAAAGAAATTAAGGCCAAGGAATGCTTTCATGTTTTCTTAAATGTGAAGTGACTTCTGCTGTTTCCATCACCTAACAGGCTTTGGAATCCGCAGTGTTTTCGTTCAGATTTTATCTGTGTCATAATTTGGGGGGTTTTTAACTACTGCTTGCTTTCTGAGTTCCCAAATTCCTCGTTACTCTTCCAGTGCTACTGAAGCAACGTTAATTTAACAGAGCTACTTCTAATAATGTCCGTATTGCACTGCAGTCTAACACAGAAACTTACTTTCAGAGTCTTTCATGTGAATAATTATGTGCCTTAAAGCTGCTGTGTGGGAGTCAAATTAACTGCCATAATTAATTCATGCATGGAAGGACAGAGTAACTCTGTGAATTCCGTATTTACAACAGTCTGCAAAGGGAAGGAGAAGTTACTCTGGGTTTGTTGACTTTGAGGTAGGAGAGAGCTGCTCTCCCACTGCAGTTATTTCAAAATAATAGGTTATAAGGTTAATTGTTTCAAAATCTAATAATTACTCAGAAATAATTACCAGAGCTAGTCTTTCTGTGGTTTGTGTGCTCATGTCTCCAATCATCTGCGATGTGTGTAAAAAATAATTCGATTTTCTTTAAAATCCTTTTTAATTTTCTGCAGTGATAAAGAGGCCACCGTCCTGTTGTGGCTGGTGCTGCTTTTCAGGCTGCCCTTCACTGGTTCAAAAAGGCTCTGCTTTTTCCCCACTTTCTGCTTCCTCCCATCCATACCCTGCTCTGCTGGTGACCTCATTTGTGAAGGCTGATGAGCATCACCCCAGGCTGCAAAAGTTTCTTTTGTTTGTTTCTTTTGGCTTCCTAAGAACCTTTTTCTGCTCAGACTGACAGTAAAAAAAAGTTGTATTTCCTCAAATGACAGAAACCCAGCTAGGTGGGATTTTTTTATTTTTTTATTTTTTGTTTAAAAACTTGGTTATTAATCTTCCAGATTGTCCACCTGGGAAGTTTTGACTATTCAGAGCAGGAATGTGGTTGTCTTTGTGCAATTTTAACATCCTTGGGTAGAAGGAGTTGGATATAAAGAGTATTCAGAAGCTTAACTGGTGTGTTCTGGCCCTCGACAGCAATGTATTAGTAACAACTGTATAATTAACAAAAATCACTGTTTACACAGCAGTAGTTAGAATACATGGGGATGTTTTAGTGGTAATTTTGCACAGCTCAAATTTGACTGTCAGATTTACATGGGATCAAGCTGAACGAAGACAAAATTATTCAGTAGGGAGAAAACATCAAGAGAAAACTCTCTGTTTTGGCATTCCTGAGCATCCACCACCATTTGCAGTGTGAGTAAGGAAAGAGCAAAACCAGATGTTATGAACGTGGTTCGTGTACACCTGTTCATCCACACCCATCTTTAAAATCCTGTCAATTCTCGTGGAAGGCTGAACCTGCTGAAGGTTAGAGCAGGGATGGGTGTGACACAGGCCAGTGGTCACCACACAGAGAAAAAAGGGATAGGGGCAATTAAAATCCTTTGGGCTGCCACACCCAGCCTCTTGAAAAGGGCATTTAAGCTTTAGTGACATTTAGAGAAAGCAAGAAAGTGTTTGGAGGAACTGTGGCTCTTGGAACAGGGGCGTTTTCACTGGGGCCAAGCCATCAATTAGCTTGGTAGTGGCTGTGGGGTTTTAAATAATATTTTATTTAAAGAGTTTTTAGGTGGAAACCGTACAGCCACTTTCCTGCAGAATATGGGACTTGCTCTTTTAAAAGAATTCAGCTAAGGGGAACCTTCTGCTAATGCAGATGATGAGCACAGTCTAGGGAAGGTAAAATGTTTTCATCGATCTCTTCCCTTAGCGTTTCAGGTGAAGCAAATCCATCAACCCCCACATCAGATCAACGAAGCCCCTCCTTAAGCCTGCAGATTTCCCTTCCAAAAGACAACGGGTGGAGGAGTGGTGGACAGGCAGCCTAATGAGACTTGTGAATTGCTCCTTCCCCAGATCTGCAGCCCGGATTTGGTGGTGTTCCTGGCCTGTTCCAGTCAGAGGCTGAAGGAGAGGTTGCTGAAGCGCGCGGAGCAGCAGGGGAGACCCGATGACAACCTGAAAGCCACCCACAGGAGGCTGATGAATTTCAAGCAGAACGCTGTCCCCCTGGTGAAATACTTCCAGGAGAAAGGGCTCATCATCACAGTAAGTCCTTCAGAGTGTACCTGGGAAACCTTCGTTGTCGTTTTGGGATTAATTCTGGTTTTAAGGATGAGAGGACTGCGATTCTTGGAAGTTTTTATTCGTTGTGGGTGTTTTGTGACTCCTGTGGAAAGCACACTTAGCTCTTCAGGAAAAATGTGCCTTTGTGGATAAATCACGTGGGGCATCTGGGTAGAACTGCATTTCTGTGATGGGACCTGTGAAACATTTTTTTCCTGTTGAAGTTCCTTCTACTTTTTAACTCTGTTTCTTGAGAGTTCTAAAGATAAGTTCAGCTTAGACATCCTCTTTTGTGTTTGAAGAAAGCAGGTGTTTAGGATGGGTGTGGAAATGACAACATGGCCTGTGATCATTGTATGTCCACTAAGGGCAAAGAAACAGCACATTTTCACAGGAAAGGAGGTACAATTTTGGATGCCATTTCCATCAGAAGGAGGAAGAAAGAAAGAAAATAACCCTCATCTTGCTACTTATAATGCTGAACCTGGGAGACAGTGCAGATGGGAGCAGTGTGAGGACTAGGACAGCATCAAATAGAATTACAGCAGCCTCGTTCCTAGAGGAGTAAATCCTTGAGGCAAGGTCAGTGTTGTCCAGGAGGGAATAAAAATATTTACATTTTTCTTTAATCTTCACCTGCACCTTGTCACTGCTGTTCCAATTCTGCTCAGGGGCAAGAGGCAGGACAGCTTGTCTGATGGAGTGTTACAATTTTACAATCACAACTCAGATTTTATACATGTTGTTCTTCATCGATAAACAGAGCAAAAGAGAAAATAAAAATTCACTGCACTGTAACTAAATATGATTAATAAATATAATTGTCATCTACTGTTAGACACTGTGAGCTGTATTACTGTAGTAATACAGTTTTGGACAGGGAGTATGTAAATAGGTGAATGGCATTTCTTGTTTCAGTAACTTTGACCAAATATTAAAACATTATGTCTTGTTTACCCAGACAATAACTAACACACTAGTTACCTGCTGGGGGAGGAGAGCTTAATTGGATGAAATTATAAAAGGGAGAGCATGTAAGTGAATGTAAGGGGGGGAAAAATAGGCCTGGATTTCTTAAGACAAAAATCCTAAGCATGAAAAGAAGGCTCTGGTCCTTATTCAAACAGCCAGAAGGGCACAGCATCGTATGGCACACACAAAATGCAGATTTCTCTGATACCTTCCTTGTCCCACTTGTCCTTTTAGGGAATTTACCATGCCTATGAAAACATTAAAATGACGTTCAGATTAGTCAGAGGGGTAAAGGGAACCCAGAAAAAGCAGCTGAAGCTGGAGAAGGCTTTGGAGCCCAGATTTAGAAGTTAAACAGTTGTGGGTGAGGGAAGGAGCTGTCTGCCCTCATAAGCATCAAACAAGCCTAATGGCTGTCAACTGTCACAGCAAAATCCCCCACGGAGCTGTGTTACATAAATTTTCCTCTTGTTTTGGTTAAAAAAAAGGAATTTTGCTGTAGAACTTGCACGTTGACGTGAGTTTTATCTGAGGGCTGTGACTTAGCAAAACACTGATGAAAATATCAGTTATAATCTCTCTCCAAAGTTCCTGTGGTGTCACAAAGCTGCCCAGCTGCAGCTGTTGCTTTGGGCTTTTTTCTGTTTGTTTGGGGATGCTGATGCCAAAGGATTTGCTCTTAGTCTGCCTTTAATTGGGGTCCAGTCCCTGGAGAAATGTGGGTCCTGCAGTCCTTGGAGCAGCTCTCGGGGTCAGAGGAACCCAGAGAGCCTTGGGTGCCACCTGGAGCAAACCTGCAGTGTTTCAGAGGCTTCTCCAATCAAACAAGGAATGTGGGCAGCTGTTTGTGGGAACTTTGAGACCAGAGGTTTTGTTGGAGGTTCAGGAGTCCTCCCTCTGTTTTGCTGTAGGGTTCCTAAATCTTTATCTGGCTCCGTGTATATGCTTATACGATGATTAAAAATCTTCTCTACAGGGGAAATGAGAGGAGGGATGGCATCCTTTTTGATAATTCCAGGGGAGTTGAAGCCTGGAACAAAGAAGCAGATCTCTGCAGCCACAGGAAGCTGGTATTAAAAAATGAAAGCTCTCTGTGTCTCTCCTATATCTGACAGCTCTTTTGCAGAAAAACTGGGCTGTGAGGAAGGGCCTGGAAGTGTTTCTTGTAAAACTGCTGAGCTGGAGAAAGTTTATTCATGTTCTGATCACTGCTGGGTTTTACACTGTTAATGTGTTACTGTTTTGTGAGACATTTTGAAGAACGTACAAAAGAGGGTATGTAAATGAGTTTTGTCTAGAAACGAGTCTATAAACAAACTGCTTGTAAATATGTGCACATTGGATATGGGAAAGATCGATGAATAATTTGTGCCTGTGTGGAGAGCATGTACAACATAAACAACTTCCCAAGCTTCACAATATTTTCATCCTCCCATTTTATGATTTCTGTCGATGTGGAATCCATTTCTGGGTAAGCTGATACATGGTTTAAAATTAACTGGCGGGTTTTTTTACGGATCTGAAACTAAAGCTGAGATAAGTAATTAAGCCAAGTTATCACGCAGAGAAATGAACTGTAAGAGATGTTTAAAATAACGTGTCCTAAATATTCTTCAAGTTATTTTAAGTGGTTCATCTTTAGGTAATTAAGCTGTGTCCTTTGGGTGAATATTGGCTTCTGATTTCGTTCTTGTGGTTAAAGTGGTGCTTAAAGGAGATTAATTTCTCTTATTTAGATGAGATATATTAAGAAACCAGCTTGGAAAAAATACCTCATCTCTGGGAAGGCCTTTTTTTATTTAATATTTGGCACCCATAAGCAAAGTTTCCTGTCCTAAACAACCACTGATTTTGTGAACATCCAGCTGCATTTCAGCCTTTGCACTAAAGGACAAAATACCACTTTCTTACCCCCAGTTCCACCAGTGATTTCCAGCTCTGATGGCCACTGGTGGATCTTGCCCATGCAAAGTTTATAGTCAGGGCCTTCCTGGTTTTGTGGCAAAACCATTTTGCTGCCATTTGGTGGAGAAGATTTGCCTGTCAGCTCCTGCAGGTTGTGACATCCGTGCAATCAGGAGGGTCTTTCAGCTCTCACAGTATTATAAAAATGTTACCTCATCTGGTGGGTTGTGCTCTACAATTCCAATATTTAACATCCTTATTTCCCGAATCTATCACTTAGCATCTAAGTTGCTATTGTTAGCCATTGGTAACTGTTTCTGTTTCCTTATTCAAGTGGCAAGTGAATGTTTCTTCTGCTGGAAATCATTGTCAGCTTCGATTCAAAGGGGCACAGCGAGGCTGAGTGACCTGGCCCCTAGTGCTGCAATCCAGCATCAGCCTGCAATTATTTGGGCTCCTGCTCCTTCTTTCCTGTAGATGTCCTGCATGAAAGGCAGGGGAGACAGAAGAGATTGTACTTTCTTGTTTTTTAAAGTATCATAAATATTAATTTATTCGTGTTTGGGAATGCTCAGGTATTGTAACGATGGAAGCCGCTGAAGTGTCAAAACTGTCAGCAGAAAGTCTGATGCCATGAATATTCTGGACTTGTGGTATTTTCCTCCAGAGTTCTGCAGTCTCATTTAGGCTCTCTGAGACAGGGTTAGGTGCAGCTGCAGTGCTGGTGAGAGCTGAGGAAGCTGAGAAGCTGCTCATCCTGCTGTGACTCAGGGAACACCTCACACCAGGCAGTGCTGGAGTGAGAACCTTACAGTCACTGCTGCTCCTGCATCTGGTGGCCACCAGCGTGGCTATTTTAACTGTGCTACATCATTTAGGGTCAGGACAAACATCTGAGGACGTCATTGCCTCGTACCATGTGTAGACACCACCTGAAATTCTTGGCAAAGACCCTCCTGTGCATCCCCTGCAGTTTGTCCTGGCTGTAACTAAACGTGTTTCCTTATCCTCTTGCCCACTTACCATCTTTTCTACTTGCAGAGTTAACAGCTGCACCTTTCCATCTCATCTAGTGCTGTGGTTCGTTCCATTAATGGCCAGTGACTGTGACTATCTGTTCCCTTTGCTGTCACCATCTCACATTGTGCAGTTCAGCAGTTTGCTTAAACAGTAAAACAGGAAAAGAAGCCTCACCAGACATAACTGTAACCCTGCAGTCACAGGCACTGCAATTTGCTGTGAGGAAGGAACTGTTGTCTCCATTCTCAGCTGTTAATCCCTTTTTATGCCAGCACAGTCAGTCACACCAGTGGTGGGAAAAGAAATAAAGGACTTAATGTCTAAAATGTGGCATCTTTTCCCTGTGACTTGCTGTGATCAGTTATTTTTATCCAGGGTGGTTCATGCATATGATACCCCATGATCCATTTTGTTAAAAATGTACTTGCTAAAATAACATTGGGTTTAGGCAAATCTTAAGGTTTTTTTCCTTATGTGCTCAGCTGAATTTCTCCTTCCAGCTTTAACCAGAATGTCAAACTGAAGCTTCACATCCATGTTTTCAGCACCAGCACTTCCAAATTCTCTGCTCTGTCTAGCAAGCCATGTCTTGTCTTTTCTTGTATTCTGCAATCCATTGTGTTGTGGTAATAATGTACTTTTTGGAATGTCAGGGTCATCTCCCTCTCCTGCCACTGCAAGATGCCAATTAGGCAATGTAAAAATACACTTTTGACTGGTTTCCCACTGTGCCCTGCCTTCTGGGCTTTTTTTGGTTCTGAAAAGAAGAGGCTTCTCTGTAAATGCAGAGCCCCCACTAAAAGGGAACTTGGAATGTGGGCAATACTCTTTTTAGCCAAGCTGAAACCATGGCAGTGTTTCTTGCAGAGAGGACACTAAAACCTTCAGCTTACACTCACATTAGTGAGAACTGTGGAAATAATTTCTTTGATAGCTGCTTGTTAAGCCTGCCCAACGATTTGTTATAACCCCAACCTGCTAACATACCTTCTAAATATTAATTATTCTGCAGGTTAAAGGTTACACTGAGCAAAGTTCAAGCAAAACTGCAAGATTCCCTTTTTTCCCCATGAGTTGCCCGAGCA